GTTCACGTAACCGTTGATCGGTTACAGCTTACTCCACCATCAAGTCCATGCTTTCAAAAACAAAGAAGTCGCTCACTAATCCCATACCCGCCGACATGGACTGGTAACCGGTCGAGAGGTCATGGTTCATCATATGATTAAGCCGCCTTCATGCCTTTCCTCCCCCCGGGATGAATATGTAAATCCTATCCTCTTCCATAAACATGCTTACCTTCCTTTTTCAGGTCAGCGAGACTGGTGATTTTTATCTTCCTGAGTGTCTTATCAGCTTCCCTTTGTTTGCTATCATTCCATTTGATGTTGCTCATGGCTCAATGGATGGTAAATATATATTTCATTGACTATTCATTGTAAACTCATTTCTACATTTTTTTACCGCTGGACTGATGTGTTATTCTTTAATAAATTCTGGAATTGCACAGGGTGTGCGTAAAGTCTGGACACATAGGATAATTTTATATTTCAAGTATGCCAATCAATCATTTTATTTTGGTTCTCTTACGTAAAATAAAGTCGAAAAAGCTTACAAGTAAGTGCCCACCCAACAAAAAAGAAAACAAGCATACAATAGAGTGAACAAGATCCAGGCAATAGTTTTACCGCAATTAAAAAAACAGCAAAATTTAGGTAGATAATCAAATGTAATAAACTTCTAACCACTTCTCCTGTCTCTGATTTATGAAAATTTAATTGTGTTATTGAAACTAATATTGTTTTCACTATTTAATTATTCTTGATATAACTAAAAATATGTAATTATCCTATGTGTCCAGACTTTACGGACATCTTGTCAAGCAGACATATGTTTGCATGACTGTTTCTAAAGTTTATATCAGTGCAAGTATTTTGCTCAAAACATGATCGCAAAATTTGATTCAGAGTGAATATAAATGGTGGATCGCAAACTGTGGAGCGCGGGGGGCCTAGACAATTTTTTGAAAGGGTGGTAAGCTAATTGCAAATATGTTTGATTTGGTCTTGCCTGACTTATTTTGGTTTTTACATTTCTTCATTTTGGATATTTACGTTCCATCCACAAATTTTCAACTTGTACTTGGAATAAAACATACTTTCGTCTTACCATCTGTTATTTGTAGATAGTTATTTTTGAGGTGGAGCACGAGATTGGCAAATTATAAAAAGGGGACGTGACCTAAAAAGTTTGAGAACTACAAATCTAGAACATGTAATGCCATAGCTATCAACATCACCAAGCTGTTGCGCTCGGTTCTGATACGAGCATTTCGCTTAGTCCTAAAATTGTTTTCATTTCCAGTATGGAGCAAGACATTTTCGAAACCTACGAGAAATCAACAGTGCAGTCCTTGTTTATTATCAAGAACAGTTTTACACTTGGTACATGTACCTGAGGTAAGATAAAGAAAATTTTTTTTTAAAGATTTTTAATTATTAACAAAAACCGATACTAACAACAGCGTGAAGTCTACAGCTTTACATATTTGAAATGTGGGCCCAGTGCACACAATGCAATTGTTAGGAATTTGCTTGCCTTTGATTGCGCTGCAAGGGTTTGCATGTTCGAATCCTCTGGGGGATAATTATGTGTGATAGGATTGCTGGACTCCTCTCTATCATAGGATGGTTTACGTAAACACTGGTCGTTACGGCTTCCTCCACCATCAAGACCGTGCATCTGAAGCAACTGGCTAACTACTCCCATACACAACATGGACTGGTATCCTGGAGAGAGATCAGGTTCACCGTAGGGTTAAGCTGTTGATTCGGCTTTCTTTTCTCCAAGTATAAATATGTAAATCTTATCCATCCATCTTGTCTGAATACAGTGTTAGACTGGACCACCCTCTTTCATTTCACATTACCAGCTGAAGGGTGCTTATAAGGATAAGGAACTGAACTCTATTTAGGGTGCAGGTAGTCAGCCGTCGGATATCTCAAATATAAACATATCTTTTGGACCATTTTCTGTTTGCTGTCGCATTTTTACCAATGAACAAGCTATTCCAGTAAACGTTCGTTGGCCAATTGCAGCCCTCGTCACAATTTAATATGGCCCGCCGAATTTGAGTGGGATCGTTTAACACTTTTTTTTGCGTTCTAGCTATTGCAAAATTGTTACTTCATTATCACAGTTTTAGCACATATATATTTATAACAATTCAATAATACCGGTGTCTGAATTATATGTCCCCGCTTGGCTCCCCTGCAGATCCTCCTTTTGCTTCTAAATTCGGCCCACGGTCGATTAACTTTGGAAACCACTGCAGTAAACAATTAGGTGACTTATGGCGGTAGACTTCTTGCTGTAGTAGTAGCTCCAACAACCTGTCTAATATTTACTGTTTTTTTAGGAATTGGAGTTGCCATAAAGATGGAAAAATACAAGTAATTTTACCTAATTATTTAGCAAGTTGATGATAATTTTGTTGCACCCATATCTCACTGTGAATAGAAACAAAGTATATATTTCTGGAAGAATTTTGATGCTGAACTTTTTAGTCGTGAATGGATGATAGTACGCTGTGACTAGATTCAAGAATTTTTCAAATTTCAACAGTTTTATAAAGCTTTGTGATTGTGTGTCAAATTATTGATATTATTTTACTGCAGTTTTCATATTGAGCCTGAATCACTTATACGTGGCAAATGCATATAATGAGACTTAAGCAAACGTTAGCCTTCAATGGTTATGGAGTTGAGAAAATTTTATCATAATAGACTCCTGAAAAAAATGTTGGCTTCTGACTCTAGCTTTAAGAAAATCGAATTTTCATAATTTTTTTGTGTATGCAAGCGTTCTTTCACAGACTGTTAAGAACACTCAGTAAAGTTGATGCTCTTCAGTTATTTTTTCGAAAATTCTTTTATCATCACCGAAGGTGGACTACAGGAGTTTGAATATACGACTCCGCCCACAGCTCCTGTTGTACCTCGTTCATATGAAAACCTTGCCATACCTGCCTGCTTATGGGTATTATAATATAGGAAGGGTGAATTTTGTTAAAACTGTTTGCTGCTGTATACTTATCATTGGCAGACCAAGAGCGGGTCATTTCTCATACTTGTTGGGAAACACTACGTTTGCATCTCCATACCACACAGCAAATAGCTTTTTTGCAGATATATTTTATGTTTGTAAATTATTATGGGCTTTTAACTAGAGTGTTGCAAAGCTATATTACACGTTGTATTCACTTTTCATCTGTTTTTTTTCCTGATGGATACAGTAAGAGAAATCATCAGTCGGGAGATTAAGTGATGTTATGGTTTATTGGACACAAAGTGGACTTATGAATCGTTTTGTTATTAATATTATGTTGTTGTAGTTCTTGTTGATAGAATTTTTCTGGTGCTCCTGAAGTATGCGCACCAAGATGTCGCATAACCTGGACCCTGGCCTGGTACACAAGTTTAGGTTGTGCGCCATCTTGGTGGTCCTATTATCAGTTCGAAGACTAGCCAAGAGCCTCCCGTAGTATTTATACCTAAAATTATGGCCTAACCTAGTACACATATTACATTCCGTTGTCCGCCATCTTGGTTCGCATACTTCGGGAGTCCCCTAAAAAAATACCGGTACTGTGGCAGATTGCACACCTGTACTACAGCGTTTATAGATTCAATGTCGATATATTCGAGCATCGCTTGTTTAAAAAAACTCGGCCACTTGCTGGTTCAGGAACGCCGGTCTTCTGAGTTGGCTGTTTGTTTGTTGGGACTGGTCTAATTGACAGAAATTCCTGGTGATAGGCGATAGGAAATGAATAGTATGTTCTCAGTAAGGCCGAGCCTTTTTCTAATGCTTGTAAGCTATTTAAAATTTACAAGACCTATGGTAATTGTATGAGGCTTTTTTATCGCAATTGGTCCTCTGAACACATGGTATCCATCACACAGTCGGTTGCTGTGTGTGATAAGAAATGTGTTTCATCAATAACTCGCGACCTCTAAACAAGATGGCGGCGATTCGGAATGCCCAGATCTAGTTCTTGGTAAGAATTGATATAGCGGATAGCTAGCGTCCAAGTTTCTGCAAATGACAACAAACTACTTGAATTATTATGGAGTTTTTTAAATCATGGAAATTTATCAAGCAGATCAGCCACATTAATGAAAGGCTGTGCTGAGGTTTTAGGGAAATGATTTTAACTGTCTGGTAAAAGTAACTAATACTGAATACACTCCAAAAAATATTTTTCCAAAGTATTATTTGAATGTGTTTTAGAATAGAATTGAAATAGTAAAAAAGATATGTGAGTTTGCAGAACTATGAACTTGCACACATCCTAAATTCAGAAATACGGAAAAGTTAAGTTCAGATTCATAATTGTCAATTTCTATACTAGGAACATTCTAAATTCAACAACTTATTAATTATAACCAATTTCAAATATACAGCAGGCTCAAAACTGATTTTAATATAAACTCCTTGCTCTTCCTAGTTCCATTGCTTGGTAAAGTTATTTCACAGGGTGTTTACACTTTGTTCAGCATGTATTGTTTGAACATAATTAGGGGGTTTAACCAATCAAAAAAACACTATAAATACCACTGTAATGATAAACGAAGGCTATGAAAACTAAAAGCCTCCAGAAGTTGGCCACAAACCCTAAAAAGTTGGGGACTTTAATAAAGCAAAGCTTCAATGATTAGGCAATTAAATATAAAGTGATGAATAAGAAGAGCAAATGAGAAAATATCTACAGTTTATATCAGTGGCTCTCAGACGGTGGGGATCGACCCACAAAAGGGGCGTGGACAATTTTTTGAGGGGGCGTGAAGCTATTTAAAAAAACTTGTTAGATTTGATCATGTCTGCCATGTTTTGGATATTTACATTTCTTCATTGTTTAGAGATTGCGATCCCATCCACATGTGAAACACACTTTCGCATTACTATCTGTTATTTGTAGCTTATTGCTAGCTAGTTATTCTTGAGGTGAGGCGCGAGACTTGACAAATTTTAACAAGGGGGACTTGAAATGTTCAAGAACCACTGGTTTCTCTAGAAATCAAGTTTGATAAAAAAAAAAAAGTTTTACTGCTTTGCTATAGTTAATAAACAATGTCATGTGGAGGTCAATCACAATGGTTTTATAACAGCTGATTACACATTACATATCTGTGACATCATAAGTGACTTAAAAGGCATGAAAGAGGCTCATAAATTTAGAGTAAAAAGACTATAAAAAATAGAATTGAATGTAAAATTGTAAATAACATGGTATTTTTCACAAATGATAAAAACTTTTCTCAGATGTCAACAACCCAAGTGCATATCCAGTTACTTCTTAATCACATCTAAGTGTTTTTGCATAATTTTTTGTAAGACGCTTTTCATCGCTGCTATTAAGGGTCCCTCTAGTGACGGATCTTCACGAAGTAACAACTGTGTAACGACTGCTACAACATCACAATCTTTAGTAAAGTTTTTTACTCGCGCTTCCCGACTCCTTTCTGATAGATCATTATTGCTGGATGTCGGTTTCGACCTATTGACATCGGTAGCAGGCTGACTCCCGAGGCGACTATAATCAAACCCAGGAATTTTTTGTGCTCCACTGGATACTGTAGTACCATAAGAGCTCTGCATAAACACTGCAGGTGCATTGTTCACTGGGGCAACACTAGAGACCGTAGATATAACTAGGTTTGTTAGTTGCGGTGGTGCCGGAGGGGGAGTTAAACTACTGTATGTACGGGTTTTTTCCAGCATATTCCGTAGATCGTCTTTTGACGTGCCGCTATGTTGCCCGAGAGCGTGTATGTCTGCAACTACTTTTGTTTCAGCATTGCTTGCTTTCTTTTTTTCATCATCTTTTCTTTTTTGTTCTTGTATAATTGATTCATCTCTCTCGTACTGACTGTGGTGCGGAGCGTCCAGTTTTCGTTTGTGCTCTTTCTCTTGTCGCTGGATTTCTAAATCAATCTCTTTTCGTTTAGTTTCAAAATCGATGTCTCTCATATTCGCAAGACCAGCATCTTCATGTGTGCGTTTCCTGGAAATGAAATCAGATAAGTGTGAGATGTGATCGATCCCTCTTCATACTAGCTTCTTTAAGATAGGATTAGTTAGTTATTTTTTTCTGATACATGGTCTTGATGGTGGAAGAAGCCGTAACTGACCAGAGTTACATGGAGCACCCAATGCCACAAGGAGTCCAGAAATCCTCTTGCACATAGCCATCCTTGCATGGGATTCGAATCTGCAAACTCACACAGGGTAATCAGAGGTGCACGGGCGTATTCCTAACGCTTAGCAAGATGCGCCACACTGATGAGCCGAGATTTTGGGTTCGATAATTAGCACGACATGCTAAGTGTTGGGAACACCCTTGTATTTACTTATGTGAATTTCAATTAGTAATTTGCGCAAAGGGACAGTCCATTTTTTAAATATAGCATATGGCAATCAATAATTAATATTTATTCCAGGACACAAAAAATTCATGCTATGAGTTTTTGATTTCTTTTAACATATCAATGTTTGCATGTCTATCCAAATTTTTAGTCACTCTGTCAATGCCTGATAGACCTTGCTTCGCCTTTGAGCAAATTTTATTTTTACAAAAACAGTACAGAACACACGTAGTGTAGTAAGACAATTCGAAGTGGTCTAAATTCCAAACAATACGAAACGTTAAAACTGCCCACCAATAGCACAGTATTTTTCATGTGACTATTCACCGCGCAAAAAAGTTATTTAAGATTGCAACCTGTCTCTTGTTGGTGACTTTGAACTTTGCCTCCCGGTAGACGATGACTTTGGTACATATTTACTTGTTGATGAGGACGACCATGATGTGTAAGGACGTCGATCCATCTCGTAAAGTTCGGTAGGGATAAATCCTCACAGCTCGAACAGAAGATTCCTCGATGTTGCGAAGACAGACGAAATTTGCAAAAAAACAAAAGGATTGGAATAATTAGTTACCATCTTTTACGCTTGAACTTTATGATGATTCAGATTTCCATTGAAAAATATTTCATATATATTGGGGCTTCAATATATGTAAAAAGATAATGCACACTTTCAGCAAAAATACCCAAGAATATGTGCCTATTTCAAAGTTTTCGAAATTAATTAATTGAAAAAATTGGTAATAGCTAATAAAATGTGGCAACATTGAAGACGATTATTTTTGCAGCTTGCTAGCGACAACTGGAGGATGTATTTTTCAATAAATAAAATGGTGGTGGTTGGAGTCTATTTTAGCACAACTGTTTTTTGGATATGATTCCAATCCTTTTCCAATACAACGTCAGGTTAAAATGGAAGACTACAATTATGAAAAAAATTGTCATCCATCAAATGAGCAGATATTTAAACTCACAATCGAGAGTTTATGAAACGGAAGAGTTTTGAGTCAGATTAATTGAACTCGACACCGGATAAGTTTATTTTAATTCCTGTAGGATTTTTCCTTGTGATTTCTGATATGCCTATGAGCCTCACAACAGTTTTAAATTATTGTTACATTATATGATATATACATTTGATCAATTTCAAAACTGGATAAGTTCTTAGAAATTTACAAGCAAAATTTGAAAATAGTAACTCCGTCCACATTTTTCAAAAGAGAGTGCGCAACATGTGGATTTCGCACGCACTTCGTTTCGTGGACGTTCTGCAATCTCAAAAATCGAGATCTTAGTTCTGGGTTTGTTGTTTTTCAACTTTTTGACAAATTGTAGCGCAGTTTTGCACTTGAAACATGCCTGCATTGCAAAAGAGAAAGCAGAAAAAGCTCTCCTTGTTTTCTAAATTGAAAACGAACATTGAATACTTGTGGGACTTTGCATTTAAACTTCTGACGGATCCGGCGTACACATGGAAGTTATGCTGTCTTCTTATTATTGGAGAAATCATTTTAAATATACTGGTTGTACACTTTGTGAAATACACAGAAATTGACTGGGTTGCGTATATGCAGGAGGTCGAAGGCTTCATCAACGGAACACGGGATTATACGGAACTAAAAGGAGACACCGGGCCGCTTGTTTACCCCGCTGCTTTTGTTTACATATACTCTGCTCTTTATTACCTAACATCACAAGGAACAAACATAAAAGTAGCACAGTATATTTTCTGTTTGTTTTATGTTATTAATTTAGCTCTTGTGGTTAGGATTTACGAAAAAACTAGGCAATGTCCTCCCTATGTTTTTATTTTTATGTGTATGACTTCTTACAGAATTCATTCAATTTTTGTGTTGAGGCTTTTCAATGACCCAGTGGCTATGATGATATTTTATGCCTCAGTGAATTTATTTCTGTCAAAACAATGGAGTATAGGTTGCATATTTTACAGTCTCGCTGTCGGTGTAAAAATGAACATTTTTCTTTTTGCACCTGCATTGTTGGTGATCCTATTGATTGAAAATGGAATTTTAAAAACAATTGGACATTTATTTGTATGTTTACTCACCCAAATAGTTATAGCGATTCCATTTTTACTTGAAAATCCAGTCGGCTACGTTAAAAAATCTTTCGAGTTCAGTCGTCAGTTTTTCTATATTTGGACTGTAAATTGGAGGCTCGTACCGGAGGAAATATTTCTAAACAAGCAATTCCAGTTATGCCTGCTCTTGTTACATTTATCAATTCTTGTATTGTTTGCAATATTTAAATGGAGAAACGGAATCAAGCAATTGTTTTCCTTAATTAACCCTTTCACGAACTGGGAAGCTAATTTGCCAAAACTATCTCCAACAAAAATGGTTCAGATTTTATTTGTGAGCAATTTCATCGGTATGTGCTTTAGTCGATCATTACATTACCAGTTCTATGTTTGGTATTATCATACTTTACCATTTTTATTATGGAATATAAAAATTCATTCAACAGCTAGATTGCTCATATTCGGTCTAATTGAACTTAGTTGGAATACTTATCCTTCCACAGTGTTTAGTTCTTCTCTCCTTCATGTAATGCATTTATTGATGCTTATAGGTTTGTTCCTTAGTCCTGATGAGATTAATTCAAAGTCTAAAAAAACATAGAGCAATGGTTCTCAAACTTTTTAGCCCCGCTCCCCTTTCTAGAATTTGTCAAGTCTCGCACCCCAACACAAAAAATATCACGGAAGCTAGCAATAAGCTACAAATAACAGATAGTAAAGCAAAAGTATGTAAAGTAAAGTATTTATTCAAAAAAACATGTTCAAAATAAGACTGGCACTATCACATCTATTTTTGATTAGCTTTTATGCCCTCTCAAATAATTGTCTATACCCCTTGTGGGGCGCGCTCCACCTTCTGGGAATCACTGTCATAGAGATAGTTCCTAAACTGAAGTTCTAATAGCACCCTTATATATTGCTTTTTGGCTTGTAAATGCACATTGAAATCTCATTGTACTAGAGGCGATTAGTGTCTGTACATACAGTGTTTTCCTGGAAATAAGAAGACAGGGTCGTATTTCAATTTTCCTCCAAAATTAACACCTGGGCTTATTTTTGGTGGTTTTGGTATTTTTCATTTATCAATAAGGGGAGGGCTTATAATAAAATTTCAAAATGTAAATTTTTTAAAATCAGGCTAGGTCTTATTTTAGTTTAAACCCAGTAATTACACTAAGATTATAGGATCACCTCAAGAGTGGATCAAACTCTAAAAAGCAATTAGCCAAGTAAATATATCAAACACATTTTCCGGGTTGATAGACCAGATATCCTTTTCCACTGGTGTGGATTTCATATTGTTTCCGCATCATCCAGGCTACAAATGAAATCCTGTTGACACTAAACACCGATCTATTTCCTTGTTATAATATGTGATTTATTATCGTCACTCAAGTACAAATTGTTTGAAATTTTTAGGGGATTTAACTTGAGCTAGTTTCATTTAGTATTAATGAAATATTTTCCTTCTATTTGTGTGTCTGTAATGCAATCATTTGAACCTTGCAATAATTTGTTTAATGCAGTTGTATCTAATGCCTAATAGTCATTTTTAATGAGTTGGGAAATTTTTTGTACTTTTTCTATAATTATATGTGGGATTGCATGAAGAAATATTCTATAAAAATGCCATTGCATGTTGCATGGACTGTTTGACGTTTTATACTATCCTTTAATAAAGCTGATGTTATGCTTTGCTGGTGTACCCTGTGCTAATTGCTTGTATTCTACTAAATGCATTTGTGATCTTGATCAAGTCCATGCATCTGGAAGAAAATCTAGTTAATTATTTTCATACCCGGCCTGAAATGATAACTAGATGAGATAGTTTGCTTTGTCATATGATTAAGCCCTTTTTCACTTTCCACTCGCCCCCAGTATAAAATGTTATAAAAACCTCTCCTAGTAGCAAAAAACTTTGATGAGAATCGTGGTATAATGTATTTTGAATAGAATCTATTATTTGAATCATAGTTTATGCCAGATACAAAATGTTGCCTCGAGTTGTCACGCCTGATACAGGAATTCAACATACGGAACAAAATTGCAAAATCAACATAAACTCTGATGACAGAGGAAGTGGAACGTTGTATATTTCAGAAGAAAGACTAATCTGGGAGAACCAGGAGCATCGCGGGTTGTCGCTCGGTTATAAAGATATTGCGATACATGCTGTCTCTAAAGATTTACAGGTATTTGGACGTTTGTTATTCAATGAACTACGGTTGCCATGGTTATCTTGCCTGTTCTGTCTGGAGTCTTTTTTTTCCATTAATAACAAGCATCAAGCGTGGCACTATCGGGTCGCTTAATTAACTGTATCTTAAAGTCCGGCTTTCATTAGTATTGTATGTTTGACTTTTTTCTCAGCATGGTTCTCATGGGTGACGCTGTTCGATAATCATCACTAGTCTACAACTTTTGTTTGATGTTCCCAGAATCCCAAATTATGTTTCATTTGTTTGCATATTTTTACCAACATACCATTCATTATCATATGGTTTCAATAATATGATTTTTTGAATTTTTAATCCTATGTTTTTCCAGGCATTTCCTGAAGAATGTCTTTACGTAATGTTCAATGGTGAGATTTGTGAACCGGTTGTCAATGGCAACGGACAGACAGAAGAGTACGATTGTGCAGATAACGAGTTTGCTGCTGACACAAGTGGTACAATATCAGAGATCAGATTTATACCAGTATGTAAAGACAATTTAAAACGAATGTTCGATGCAATGAGCGACTGTCAATGTCTCCATCCGGACAGTGAGGATAGCGATGACTATTATGGTGGAGATGGTGACAGTGAGGAGCAAAACTATGAAGGGGCTCTGTACCCCCCTACGGTTTACAATGGCGGTGCGGGGGAAGGATTTTATACTTCTGAAGAAGGCTTACAACATTTAACGCCTGCAGGACAAGCAACATTAGCAAGACTAGAGAATATGTTAGCAGATTCGCAAATTTCTGAACCTGAGGGGATTTCCCAAATGGAAGGGGTTCAGATTGAGGAGGAGGGCCCTATGAACTCTGATGAGCCTCCTGTGGTAGGAAGGCCCCCTGTTGTCGATGACAACCCGCAGCAAGGTGCCCCTATTCTTTCTTCAGTGGAAGGACAATTTGATGATGCCGAAGACACTCATTGATCTGCTCAATGCCAGGTATCTGATATCTGTCGTTGTCATGGTTGCGGAGCGGGAAAAAGTTTACAATCAACACTGGGGATTGAGAAAAATAACAACTTTCTCTAAGATTGTAAATAATTTTGACTCCAGTTTCTAACTTGGAGAAAAATTAATTTTAATTGGTATTATGCAAGTCTCCTTCAATAGATATTCAATAGACCTAATGCTCTTTGATTCCAAGATTTGACTTATCATTGCCATTGAGTGGATAAATTACAGGGAAAACATCCCAAGCTCTGACCTCCTATTCTGCAGCTTAGGTTATTACCACCAAGACTGAGTTGAGAAGAATTGCATATCTTATTAGTTACCTTTGTTCTCTCATTTACTTTTTTCACAAATTTCGAAGTTGAAATTTACCTCTTCACAACTCTGCCCCTTTACAATTTTAATTTTGGTATGAAGTCAGTTTTCAATATATCTTATTATTTCTTAACCAGGTTTGTTGTTTTTTGATCAGTCAATTCTTTAAGTATTTTTACTTCATTTAATAATACATGGGCTATACAACAATTTGTGATATTGATAAATTCCCTTCCAACTTTGAAAGTCTTTAAAACTTTATGGACACCCTATTTAAGAACTCAATTCCAAGTAAAGTACTGGACGTAGGCTTTTAAAGTTGAATGTGTTCACATTACCATATTTCAATCATATATCAATTTAACCCTCCTGTATTAATAAAGGTTGCAAACACCTAGTTTAACACTCTTATTCAAATATATCAATCAAAATCTAAAATATCAAACAACTCGGCGATCTTTGTGATTGAAACAACACCTGATGTTTTTAATCGCTTAATTGTAATCCGCATGTTTATCACGTCTCCCTCAACACCGAAATGCATTTTTTTTTCTAATTATGTTTGTACAACGTGTACTTTCGGCATGTAATAAAATGAACAACTGCCTGACTGACATATTCCTTCCCATTTCATTTACCTTTATTATATTCTTTCCTAAGCAATAAACTTTTTCCACTGCATGTCGTGTTGATAAAAGTCACTCACAGTGGTGGTTAGGAATAGCTGCCTTCGAACAAACTTAAAAAAAGTTCAGCTTAGTGTTTCCGCATTATTTCAAGACTTAGGAATACACTTGTGATCTCACTCCCTTTGGATCAATTTCATATTCATGCTTGCTGCTGTGGATGAATATAGGTCACATTGACAATAAAACTGGAGGTTTGATTTTGTAATAAATCCATATTACGGTATTTTGAAAAAAACATTAGGACCTCTTCGAGGTGGACCGTGAGACTTGATAGTCTAAAAGGGGGACTTTGCTTAAAAAGTTTAAGAACTGCCGATTCAAATTAAGGTACACATCATCCAGAATGCCCCCCATTACATTCTACCATTGTTTTAGATACCGGCCCCGCAATAACCACATATAGACTGTGCATACATCGTTGCATTTCTTTAATATTCAAATTTCCTATTCCAAAGAAAATGATTGTACTTCCAAATAGACAAACATCCCAGTAAGTCACAAATGATTTGAGTACACAACCTCACAAAAAATGAATGAAATCTCCGAAGCTTCAAACCGCACCATTGTGTACAACAGTGGTTCCCAACATGGTGGCCTGTGACCTCCTAGGGGGGCAAAGGGGCAGTTGGAGGGCCACAATGCTAGGCGCAGATCTGAAAACTCCTGTTCTATCTAATTTCATTGCTTGATAAGGGTGTTTTCACTTTGTTGAGCATGAATTGTGTGAACATAATACCAAAGGAAAGATAAACAGGGGGGCCATGAGTTCGGGAAGCCTTCGAGAGAGGGCCACAAGCCATAAAGAGTTGAGAACCACTGGTGTACAACATAAAATCCGAATCCTTGGCACACAATTCAAAATAATATTGATGGAACAGATATATTTTATATTTACAAGGAACAATTCTTCAAATAGAAAAGTAATTGTAAAGTAATGAGGTGTAAGAGCATTTCCAAATTCTTTTGAGTGAACTAGTAGACTTATCCCTAATACCACAGCTCAGGCAAAACAGTAATGTGACATATTTTGTATTAAGGTTATTGAGACCTTCAAGCTATTTGTATCAAACTGAATACCCATGTTGGCTGCACAGGATGGATACTGAGTTTATCAACTAAACCCCATGTTATGACAGACACCAAAAATAATGCCTCCCTACATGCAATGCAGTCCCCGCTTCTGAATACCCTTGTAGTATTTTAACAGTATGTTCCTTCAGAGTTTGATTCTGTTTTGCTGGATTTTGAGTCATACTCAGCATTTCTTGACTCCGGCTCGATGAGCAACATATAAAAAAAAGAACTACAATATTGCAATAATATTTGAGCCCCAAAAGTTGTTTGCCAATTTCAATTATATAAATATATCTGTGATGCTATAGCGCGAGGTTTATCGGCCAAAATGCCAGGCGTAAACTAACTCCCTGTTCATCCTAGTTTCATTACTTGATAAAGTTATTTCACAGGGTGTTTTTCCTTTGTTGAGCATGAATTGTTTAAACAGGATAGGATTTGGAATCAACCAATCAAAATAAAACTACAAATACCACTGGAACAATAAACGGGGGCCATGCGTGCTAAAACCCTCCGGAACGGGGCCACAATCCATAAAAAGGTTAGGAACCACTGTATCAGCGTTATAAATTAAATGTTCATGTCCATTAGGAATAGATAGGGCTCGAAGTGGATTCCATGCTATAGTAGTGCCACTATATATATATATATATATCTGTGAATTTCGGTTTTAATAATGCTTTTTCATTCACATCAACCATTCACCACATGAATTAGAAAATGACAATAAATGGTACTTCCGTAGTGTGTGTACCAGGTTAGGGTTGGGCCATAATTTTTATTCCGATTTTCCTTATTTTACAAGTTCGAGGACGCTTTTGTTTAGCCAAGTGAATATACCCCCTGCCCATAGGTTTCAGTTCTTTTACACAAGTTGATGTAAAATAGGCGAGTCAAATTAGTTACCTCCATATTGGTACACAAACTTCTGGAGCGACCAATAAATATCATATCTGCATGAATTGACTAGGAGCTAGAAACACCACCATCCATAACCGACATTTTATATGAGAAAGCGATTTCATTGCTCTACCGCTATAGCTGCGGCGGCAGACGGCTGTTTTTTAACAATCTCCTCTCCAAGAGATTCTAAGATTTCCTGTTTGTAATCATCAAAGTCACCTTCAATTTGATTGATAGTCTGTTGCTCAACAACCCAGAGTTGACAGTTTGTTTCAGTAATTAAACGAGAATCGTGAGACACAATTATAACTCCTCCTTTATAGGTGTTTATTGCGTCTGCAAGTGCATCGATTGATTCAAGATCCAAGTTATTCGTCGGTTCGTCCAAGATTAAAATATCAGGTGCGCTTGCTACGAGTTCTGCAAGAGCTACTCTAGCTTTCTGTCCTCCACTTAAATCGCGATTCGGGATGGTGTGAGCTTCGCTTACAAGTCCGACAGAGCCGAGACGTTTTCGAGCTTCTTGGTACTGCATGTTGAATTTACTTTGCAAATATTCCGCTGGTGATTTATCTAAATCCAGTTGTTCAGCTGAATGCTGACTGTAGAATGCAATTCGGGCTCTGTGATTTTTACGCATTTCTCCTGAAGTTGGGTCAAGCGTTCCACACAGAAGTTTTAGAAGTGTAGACTTGCCAACACCGTTAGGTCCTACGATTGAAATTCTAGATTCCATATCAACACCGAATTCAACGTTTTTGAAAAGCATTGGTTGCCCAGGGTAACCAAAACTGATGTTATATAATCCTAATATTGGTGGATTCAAAGGTGGTGGATCTGGGAAAGAAAATTTTACAATATATTCACGAGGTTTTCGTATCAATTCAACAGTCGTTTCACTGCTTTCTTCCATTTGTGTGGCGCCACGACGACGACCTTTCTCTTGTTTACGGGTCAATGCTTCTTTTGTTTTCTTTTCTGCTGCTTGTTTTGATGATCCATGCGCTTTCAGCTCTTTCAATCTCTTCTCTTGCTTTTCATATTGTTTTGTCATCTCTTTCAATCGTTGGACGTACATCTTTTTAAACTGTGCAAAATTTCCTCGATAGTACTGCAATTTTAGGTCATCAAGGTGGATAATATCCGTGCAAATGTTATCCAAAAAGTTTTGGTCGTGGGAGACGATTAAAAGAGTTTTCTTCCATAGTTGTAAATAATTGTCCAACCAGATGACTGCATTCAAATCCAAATGATTCGTGGGTTCATCCAGCATAAGTAATGTTGGTTCCATAAACAAAGCTCTTGCGAGGGAAACTCTCATTCTCCAGCCTCCAGAGAAATCCTGCGTCGCACGCTTTTGCATTGACTTTGTAAATCCCAGTCCGGCTAAGATTCTTTGCGCTCTTGCTTCAGCGGATGCGACCCCAATTGCTTCCATATCTTCATAAACCTTTCGTAATTTCTCTTGTACAGATAAATCACCAGCCTCTTGTGCTTTTATGTATTGCTTCTCGAGCTCAATCAACTCAAGTCGTTTTTTGTCAGCGTTTAAAACTGCTTCAAGAGCGGGTGTTTCATCAGCTCTGACTTCTTGTTCACAATATAAAATATCAATATGGGCTGGTATTGCCATTTTTCTCGCTGCCATATGGCGCAATAAAGTCGTTTTCCCTTTACCATTAGGTCCGACAAGACCATACTTTCGTCCGGCGACGATTGTAAGAGAAGCATTTTTGAATAAATCTTTCCCTTTGGCTGCGATTGAAAAACTTTCTACTTTAATGTCCATACTATTGTCTTGAATCGCTGAAATCTTTTGACCAGAAGCTTGCTCGGAAATACTAAAGTTGCCCAATTCATCGTTCAATCTCTCAGATTCTAACTCTTCCATTTGTTTCTGAAATTGCATCTGTTTTTGATACTTTTTTCGTTCTTTACGCGTCATTTTACTCAATGCCTCAGCATCCAGGGCGTCAGATTCCTCTTTTTCTGGTCCATCTTCATGTGTGAAGTCTTGAACTAAACCATTTTCATTTTCCTCCTCATCTTCCGGACCGGGTGCTCTTTGGCGCCCTCTCTGTTTCGTTTTTTCTTTTTCAACCTTTGGTGCAAGCTCAACAGTTTCATTTTTCTTTTGTTTCTTCATTTTTTGTTCTACAGGGGGACTCTCTACATCTTGATTTATGTTATCATCTGCAAGTTCTTCAAAAAAGGCTTTTTTACCCCCCTTTTTCTTTTTTTTGCCTTCCTTCGGCGCATTTTTATCCAAGTTCGGAAAATCAGACATTGACTGAATATTATTCGTAGCTATTTCTTCATCACCCTGCTGCTTAGTTTTAGATTTTTTCGGCATTATTTATGGTTGTTCACTGCTTATTTATCAATTAAATATGACCTGTAAGTTAAAAAGTAAATGACATGGAAATTTCTTCGAATCAATGGTACCGTACATGCTTCTACACAGAAGCAAGAACACTAATCTTAGTCCAGTAGTCATAGACCAGTGCTTCTCAACCTAAGGGTCGTGACCCAAAACTGTGTCGCTTTAAAATACTATTGGGTTGCTTGTTTTTACAACAAAAAACATAAAAGTTATAAATTTTATTTTTTAGTAAATTTTTTTTTATTGGGAGTGTTACACAATAGTATTTGTGAGTTATACGTGGGAATTAACTTGTGAAAACTTGGCAACATCTATTTTTCCGAGAGCACAAGCCATGCCACGATTTAAAAAAAACTCAGTGATGGAAAACAAGCGTGTTCTCACTTTGAAGCAATTTCTCGTGAATATTATGTAAAAATTATTGTTTTGTTAGTTTGACTGCATAAAAACACTACATGCCGTTTAGTATTTGAGAATATTTTTGAGTCGCGAGTTTTATTTTTTGAGAAATTTGGGTCGATTGAAAAAAAGTTTGGAAACCACTGTCATAGACGAACAATGAAATGTCATGAGCTACTATTAATAAAATCATAGAGAATTATAGTGGTACATTGCGTACGAGTGAATCCATCGACTATAATTTTGATTTATTTCTGACATTTTCAATAAATATTTATCAGTAGTTTATTTAGTAGTAGTAGAGTGAAAGGAGGCACAAAAAAACAGAATTGCTTATTGAGCAGCGACATCAGCATGAAAAGTCTGACATTAGGTCATACAAAAGTTAAAAGTCAAAGTGAAAAATCTAACATTAAATACTAAAGTTATGAGTGTAACGTCAAAATACTAACATTGTCAGTGGCATAAATAAGTTTAAATATTCTACAGATCTGACAGTCCAATAAAAATTTAATTTTAGGAACTTTGTAGAGCCAGTTTTCTCAAGAGTTAAATGAACCAAAATAGGGAAAAATTAATACAGCAATATGATTTACATATTTATCCCGGGGGAAAAAATATTTAATTTCCAAATACCGTACCGAAAAGCAAGGCCATTTGCCATTCCAGCATATTACGGCTCGGCCACCATCGTTCACTTCCCGTCACGTTTTTTTTTTGCTAAATTCAAATCCATTGCTAAATCGGATTTATAAAAATGATAATTCCCGTCACGTTCGAGCGATGTGACATCAAAATTGCGAAATCCGCCACACTTCAATGGACGTTTCCCCGACCCTTGACCCTAGAAAGATGTTCGCGTTGAATCTATTCGTACTAACCACCGAACTCAGGATTGCACCTTCATTCGAATCGTACCATTAAATATACTGTGTGCATCATATAATATAAAACCCATAAAAAACAAATACTGTATTATTCTGGATTTTTTATTCCTTATTTACATACGTTTTACTGTAAATCTTAATAGAGAACTTGGGGGCAGCTGACTCTGATGACCTTATGGTCGTATCGCTCCATCCAGTCTATACCGAATTAACTTGTATATATTTTTTCGTATACCATTTTTGTTTTCTGGTTGACAAAACAATAAATCTCTCTCTCTCTCTCTCTCTGTATTCCCCAGCTTGAAGTTACCGATTTCACGCAATTGATGCTCCAATTAGGCAATTACTCAAAAATGATTATCCGATTCGGTTAATAACACACTTGATCAAATATGCAAATTGTCAAATATTTTATTTAGCTTTAACGCCTATATGTTATTGCCCATCTTGGATATGTAGCTAATTCTTTTCCACGGAAATTTAATGTTGTTTTTGGACACACCTGAAATATGTTAAATCATATCTGAAGCGTTTTTATTTATGTTTCTTGATATTGGGTGCTAACTCGGATAACCGCATGGTCATATCGTTGCCCCCCAGTCTTTACCGAAAATTTTTCGCGTCACCTTTCATCATAAAATGTCATCTTCAGCATTTTTTGAGTTTATGTTCACTGTGAGTGCATTTTCATTTTGGTGAAAAATAAACTACTACTGACTGACTGACTGACTTTACCGAAAATTATTTCAATTTACTCATAATTTTGTTGTGTATAGGTTTTTTGGTGGACAAAGCGAAATAAACTTTCTCTCTCTCTTGTCTTCATGTTCGATTTTTAAATCTAATTTTTTGGCAAATTTCCCAAGCTTAAGATTGATTAGGTCGTCTTAACGGTTTCCCTCTCCCCAGGATAAATACAAAACTGCATTCGCGCAAATAGCTTATGTGGTTCTAACGAAAAACTAATTCGCGCAAATGATCTCTCTATGTTTACAATCGACCTGCTCAGCTGTTTTCGCCACATATTTTTGGCTGGCCGTATGCTCATCGCTTAGTTGTTTAGTTCAGTAGTTTTGTGATGACATATTTGGGTATTTTAGGGGTTTGAAACTGGAGGTAGTCTTACGTTGAAAAACTCATTATGGCAGAAACCAAGCCATTTAAGTCAGGGTGGCATTGGCATTCAGTTCGTGATCGACATAATCCACGTTTAGGCCTTGACAAAGCAAACAAAGTTACTTGCTTCACCTTCGTTCAATATTTCTGCGGACCAAGATACAATTTCACTCAAGTTTTGAAGGTGAGAAGAAGTTTTCTGTTTATTACAGTATTAAAATGTTTACAAATAGAAAAGGCCAATAGTTTAATACCGTTTTCTAGTATTTATTTTGTTTTTATCAATCATAGTCTATTATGCTGATTATGGAGTCGAAATAAACTTGTACTTATCATACTATAGTATGCGTCCACAACTACTTCCAGTGGTCGCAGCATAATGATTTTTGCATAAATTTTTTTTCCCAACCCCCACCTGACAACGTCATCTAAAAATTATATCGCTTTGACATGACAATTACGACATAGAACTTGCCAAATTATAACTACAATCATTCGAAATGACATCTATGCTGACTATAATTACGAGAAAACGAGAGAAATAGCTCGTTTGATTTTGGATGACCGTCTGCGCATTTTAAATGACCATTTGTATACTTTGGAGGGCCCTATTACCTCACTATGACTAGTATATAATTTTCATAATTATCAAGAAGGACATATACAGATATAGCTAATCTTGTAACTGTGTAACCACAGCCTCTCGAAGTCATAACTGACGATCATTTTACATTGAATGCTGGGGACTTTTTTGCAGTGTTGAAAAAGAAAAATTGCTTCTAGTGCCTAACTCATTAAGCCAATCACTTTTCTTATCGAAATCTTTGTAACCCAACGAATCCCCACATAACGCTTGGCAAGGTTATCATTTGAGAGTATGACACTATGCTCTGCTAGACCAGATGTTGTGGTTCAACTGCCATAAATTATTTTTTCCTCTTTAGATATTATCTCTGTTGCTCTTAATTGGAACATGCATATTCAATTTGAAGTTGGTTATTGAGACAAATAGAAGACTCGAGAATCATAGATTAATTTTGGAACTGGGTAAAAGAACATTTTCATTGATGTATTGTATCTAGCACAAATTTCAGTACTCTCGTAGTATGTGTACTAGGTTATGGTTAGGCCATAATTTTGTTCCAATTTTCCTTATTCTAGTTCTGTTACACGTTTGGGGACTGTCTTTGTTAGCCAAGTGAATATACGCCCTGCCCATAGGCTTCTGTCCCTTTACACAACTTGATGTAAAGTTGGCGAACAAATTAGTTATTGGTGCCTCCATATTGCTACACATACTTCTGGAGCGCCCAAATTTCTACTAAAAAAACTAAATAGGAGGTGACTAGACTAGACTAGACTTGTTTATTCCTAAAGTGTATTTTAGTATGGTGAAAAATAGCCTACGGCTACGGATCACTGATTAACTTCCCTTCTTGGATATTAATTTCTATTCTGCCCTAATTTAATTCATAAACTAGCAGTGTGCTGAACAAGCATTCGTTACTCACCTCGTCATTTATTCAACTTTATGTTGTAGATTCAGACAGTGATGTTGTGCCAATTGATGAAGATGATTACTTCAGTCATCTGAGAGCTAACAATGATGCAGAAGAAATATCAGAGAAATTCTTAGTACAGGTGACTAACATTTCATCCGCTATTTTTTAAAATTTACATTAAATGGTATTTATAAATTTTGATTGTACGAAGATCCTTCCGAGGGGGTCTTTATATGGTACTCTAGAGGGGTGATCCTCTTTTGATCCGGTGTGATGATCTTCATATGATCCCCAAATTTATTTGAGGCCATGATGACACCCCTGTAAAAAAAAGAATGCTGGGTTCTAAACCCTATCCCATGAAATTGCCACAGGTTTGATTTTACTTGCCTGAGTTTGCAGCATTTGAGCAAGGGAAGCATAGGCTTGAGTTATTGTTATTTTGTAACCTTTGTTGCTACTTCCTACATCCATATATAAGCCTTGGGTTATATTATTTCAAATATTAATTCTTGTTTTGTCATTACTCCCAATCTTTTTTACTTAGCTTCTAATGAGTGCTCCCTTATTAAGCTGCGTGAATCTTATTTGCATATTGAATTATTAAATATCAGAGATCAAATTTTTTTTATTTACCTTGCAGGTCATATCAAGCAAAGATCTTGTTGAAGTAATCGTAAATGGTCGGTCTGTACATCGTGATGCAGAAGCAAATCAAGGGAGAGGAATACACGTTGTTATTTTGCATGAAACAACTGTAAGTTGTACTTCTCTCTGACAAAACTATATACAACCAGAGATTTCAAATATTAAAATTATAGAAAGGCTGCCGTATTCTAGAGTTTTACTTACCCTATTCCGGCCTAATTCTTAAAGTTATATGAGGTTGTGGGCATCATCGGACTGATCAGGGTTTGAATTAAAAATCTTTTGTACGATAGAATTTCCATATTCATCCTGGGGAGAGGATAGTAGATAAGATGGCTTAATTATATGACGAATCAAGGCCCCTCATCCGGTTACCAGACCATGTCTGGTATGGGATTAATTTGTTAGTTATTTGTTTCAGGTGCATATACTTGGCTTGATCTGAACTTATGTATTATACAAGCTAGTTGATTCAGTAATCAGTAGTCTATTTTTTCACCATACATGAAATACACTAAATGAATACAGAATGTAAAAATGAGCAAAAACGGATAATTCAGGGTGAAAGAAGTCGCGAGAAACCAATACTGGTTACGAGCGGTGAAACATGTTCCATATTTTATCAGTAAAGATAATTTCAATAAGTTTATATAAAAGTATTGGAGCTGTGTTGTTCATGACAAGTAATTGGAAAAATAAGCTTGCTTAACACAAGAACATTCAAATTGAAAACAAATGCGTATGACGACAATAATAACTAACAGAACTTATGTAAAATAATTTTTGCAATTTTTTCCAGGGCTCTGTAATGTCGCAGAGGGTGTTTGATACTTACGCACCCAAACAAGATGAAGCCTTGATTGCCTTCCTGAATTCAATCATCAGCAACAGAATATTTGTATTTGCTATAAAAGTAAGTGATTAACAAAATATATCTTTTCAAAATGAGTGTGCAAGGCTCCAACCAAAATTGGATAATTAACTTCTGAATAAAGGCACAGGTTATCTAATAGTAGCCCCCGACTCATTCAAGTGCAGTTTTAATTATTCTGTGGCGTCTGCAGCTGCCGTAAAACCATGGCGGTATTTCCATACCATGGGCGCTACGGCCAAACCTATGGCGACTGACTTTTAAGCTGCCACAAACCAATGACGAGCTGTCGTTACCGCGGCAGCAAATTGAAAACCAATGGCAGGTAAAATTTTGCTGCCATAACCACTCCAGGTAGGCCGTACGCCATAAAGACAGGGCTGTTCCTTATGGTGACAAATATTGGGTAAGTTAGAACGTTTTTCTTATGGATACAGTTTTGATGGATTTGGGGTTAAAGTTTAAGTAGATATAATTCCGCATGATCAATTAAAATCTGGTACATCAATTTGTGAATATACTGTTAATACTGATTACTGAATAGCGCTATAAAACCATGGCAAGAGCTGCCGCGGTTCGTTCGTGGTAGGAGCTGCCATGAAGCGGTAAGAACTGCGCCTTGACACATTTGCGAACAGCTAACTTGATACATAGTGCTTATTAATAAATGGTAACTCTTATTTGATGACATATCCTTGTTAAGGTTGTATATATATGATGTGGCAAATGTTAAGAGTATGGTTAGAACTTAGAAGGCTGGGTTTTTGGGAGAAATTTTTGGTTTAAAGGCTTTCTCGCAAAATGAACAACTCAAGCTATTCAGAACTATCATTCCATATCAACTCCTATCCCTGATTACAATTATAGGTCATTTGAATATCAGATTACATTCTCTCAAAGCGAAAAACATAATCAAACCACTTCGTACAGTCAGGGCGTACATTACGTATATTTAATATAATTATTCTTGTTTTGGACTGATTTATAGTAGAACTTGGCAATTTTTAGGATTTGACATACATACAAGCAAAAACAGTCAACGTTTATGATGCTCTCTGTTGAGTATGATTCAAGATTAGAAGATATTTGACATTTAAAAATAATTTTACAGATCATATGAGAAAGCCAATATGATTGTTTAGGGCAGGGTTTCTTAAAGTTTTTGGGCTGGGCCCCCTGCTTGTGATCTTATGTTTGACGGATAATGTTTCATTTACAACACAAACGACATTAATGTGATGAATGAGGTTGCTTTTAACTGCATGATTTATCAATTCTCGTAGAAACTTGTGACAAGCAAACTCGTAGGTCTGACTCTATGGCAGGTTGCGAATTGCGACATGTATTTTGTCTTCATATTGCTGAAAATGCTGCCTCAGACATGCAGGTCATAGCAAAATGCAATAAAATTTTAATTGCCTATTCTGAAAGCAATGTATATTCGTCTGTAACACTCAACCAAAAAGATGCAATGGCGTTTTGATTAAAATCAATCATTAAAGATCGACTTTTGCAATATCGTTGCCGACCCCTCTTACACTCATCGCGGACCCTAGTTTGGGAAACCCTCATTTATGGAGTCTCTACTTTGCTTAGGGATTATTGAAAAGCAGAAATGCCATAAAATTGTGTAAATATCGCTAGAATCATCCAGATTACCAATTCTGTTGTACTTTTAGGATGAAGCTTCGTTTGAACTTGGGAAATCAGCCAGAGAAAAATTAAATGAACTTGGCAGTAAAATGATTGATGATCTGAGTTGGAGAAGCAACTGGGCAATGATTTGCTCTAAGAGAGGTGAATAATGCGACTTATTCAAATAAATTATTACTGGTAATATATATATAGGGTGTCCGTCTTGAATTTTTTTCAAATTTCAAAGGGGATTCATCGATACCATATATTGTCACAGATGTATTAAATGAAGTAAAAATACTTGAACGATTACTGATTAAAAAACAACAAACCTGGTTCATATTTATATGGAACTGACTTCATAACAAAATTGAAATTATGAGTGATTTAAGTGATTTTATGACACCCTGTGCAATTTGAATAGATTATTAATTACTTGCGAGATGACACCAAATTTTTTGACTAAAAATTTGAGGAAAATACAGAGTGAAATTTTGGAATGGGAGAATTTATGATTTTGGTGTGTGGCTCAACATGGCACGTTTTAAAAATGTTCTTGGACAATGGCCCAGGGGTTAATATCTGCTCCTGTGTGCATTTTTAATTAGGAGAGCAAAAGTATGTGATTAAAGAAAGCATGAGGTTGCTAAATCAGTGTGCTAATGAAAGATATGAAGCCAATTTCAGGCAATTTATTGTTTTCTGATTTTCCTCCTTCGCTTTTCCAGGAACAAACTTTGCTGAAAACTTGGAAACAACGGAAGATATAACAGCTTGGGCAACTGATGTCGTCATAGCAACAGATATTGACTCAATAGAAAGCCAAGGTGATAATTAAAGCCATTTGCTTCAGCTATTGTGAAAATGCACCCTTCCCCACAATGCTTTTAAAAAGTTAGATCTCAACAGACTATTTTTCAACACATTTACAATAAGCAATCATTGTTTTCACCTGTAAGCGATTTTCAATTAGATATGAACTAACTTGATTTGCCATTACTGGAATTATTTACAATTCCAATTATAAAATTTACCAAGTGATTTAAGAGTTCTGCTGCACACTAACACAAATATGTTTCTGTAAATTATCGTCAGATCAAGGTCAGACTTCCTCAGACATGCATAGTTCAACTACGGTATGTTACAGAAATATATTTGTGTTAGTATGCAGCAGGACTCTTGAATCACCTAGGATTGTTATCTCTACTCTTGCTACAGCATCCTTGCATTATATGCATACGGATCCACCGGCACAAAAGCATAGAAGAAGGATAAGCAATTAGTCCTGCAGAAACCAAATCATTAGTTAGTTCATATGAAATTTACTATTGTGATTCCAGTAACAGTTCCATTCATTTGAAATTTAATTTATTTGGTTTTGAGCCCTGTGTGAATTTTTATAATATGCTTTTTAAATAATCTAGTAATTCAAATGTCTTAAATTTTGAATTTAAAAACAGACTCAATTTTTTAACTCAAACTTTGTATTGCTGTATTTGATTCATTCTACTGTTGCAACACAAAAAGAATTTTGCTTATAAAAGTACTTATTATACATTTGACTGTTTCCACCAAATTCAAATTTTTCGAAGTGTTTGAATCTACTAAAATTGTCATAATGCCCTTCCTCTCTCTCACAGAATTAATATACTTAGGGTAGGTACCTTGTATTAAAAGTAATACATTAATTTTAATATTTTCCAGTAATTACTTGTGATTGGCCACAATCAGATTCCTCCACCACGAGAAGAGCCCATTTCTGTTCACATTTTGATGGTTATTTGGAATTGTGCACTTGTAATAACCCTTCACCTCTGACCTTTGGCACTAAGGAAGTTCTACCAGCAAGCTCTGTACCTGTTGCAATTATCGCCAGCAACAGACCACAATATCTGTATAGGTGAGAGAATATACATATCTTATCATCTTATTAGGCATGGCATCTTGAATATTTTTTTGCAATATTTGGTTGGGGAAGTTCTAACATTATCTAAGTATATGGGGCTTAGCAATAACTTTGTTAATTCTGTGCTCAAGGATATTCATTACGAAACAATTTTCTATTCCGATATAGGGGCCTATTCTAAAATGTTTTTGAGCATAGTACATCGTATATATTTTAAGTATTCTGAAATTGACAAAAAGTTTTTCTTAGAATTAATTTTGCTATTTTGTGTGTCCAGGATTCAATGGTAGAATTTACTTAATAAATCACTATAAATAAGACATTATCTGGTATTCTAGATTCGTTCCCAGAATAGCATTCTAATCAAATTCTAAATAAATTAAATCTCCTGATCAGGGGCTGTCATTTTTCAACCTGTGTTTCCCATTTACTTCTTTACAAATGTCAAAAGCTAGATTATCCTCCAAACTTTTCATCTTTTTGTCCCACAAATATCTATAATGAGGTAATGGAATCTCCTGAAAAGTGAATTACAATGTCTAAATTTATTGAGTTGAATTCACATACAGCGATGGTTTTCGAACTTTCACGAACTGTAGCCATCTTTCAAAGACTCTCAACAGTCAACACTTATGATCCCTGATCTTCCATGGAAATACTTTTATTGCTTTTAACACATTCCAATCAGTTATTTCATGTGCGGGATATAATAATAAAAAATAAAAAAATAAAAATAAAAAGGCATTACAGTTGAAGAATTAAACCAATTCAGTAAATTTACTTTGAATTAATGTTGCCATTGTGAATTTTACTAACTGAAAGCTTTTGCTCTGTGGTGCAGTTTAAGAAGCCCTGAGTTAATAAATGTACCAATGCTAATTTTTTCACCTAAGTGAAATTTATCCCCAGCTCAGCTCAAATTTACCCTGGTTGAGATCCCTTCTCTACATTTTATTTGATTGTCGTTGATTAAGTGATTTGAATTTGTAGAATTGTACCTTTTTAAGCCTTTCAACCAAAAATTTACCCACCAACCCTACCTTCTGCCTTAAACATAATCCCAAGGACAAGGACATATCATCAAATAAAAGTTTCCAATAAGCAGAACGTAAGTTATGTGTTCGCAAGCATTCATAGTCGGTTACCTTATAAATTTATTTATTCAGAATTAACATTGTAATTGACTTCAAGTTTAATTTTATATTTCAGAATGCTGCGTTCGTTGCTTTCTTCAAGAGGTGTGAACCCGGATGTAATTATTGTATTCATTGATGGACATTTTGAAGTAAGTTTGAAAGTTATTTATTTTCAATATATTGATGTTGAAACAAATCACAAAATTAAAATTTAAATATTCTTGAATACATATACTGATCTCACTTTATCAAAGTATGTGGAGTGATGGATAGGCAGTTAATTGAGTTAATTAAAATGTATCTTGATTTATTTCGTGTTATTTTGATTGAGCTTTCGTTATTTCGATCATAGATTATTATTACCTCGTTAATATCTATGATTTCATATCTGGATAATCCACCATATTGTATTGGCTTGACCAGCCTAAAAAATTTGATTTCATCCATGTATTCATGGATTAATTGTTCAAGCATATTTTAGGCAACTCAACTTTGGCGCAACGGTGTGACTCATCGTGCTAGGCATTAAGAATACGCTTGCCACCGCACCCATGACTACTCTGCATGGGTTCGCAGGTTCAAATCCCATGCGGGATGGTTATTTGTGAGAGAATTGTTGGACTCGCCGCCATTGGGTGCCTCATATAACCGCTGGTCGGTTACGGCTCACTCTTATCCAGTTTGTGATACATCCCCATGAGGCATCTCTTTCTTAGATTTTATCTAAAAGAACCTTTTCATCCTCTTCAGGAGCCATATGAAATTGCAAGACTCTTCAACATTCGAGTGATTCAACATGTTCCTGTTGGAGTGAAAAATGCTCGGATATCTCAACATTACAAATCAAGTTTAAGTGCAATGTTCACTTTATTTCCTCAAGCAGAAGAAATTATTATTTTAGAAGAAGATTTAGATGTTTCTCCAGATTTTTTTAGGTTGGTAGTATTTTAATGTGCTTATTTAATTTAAAAATTACTTGGAAATTGTTAAAAAGCGGTACTCTAGAAGTATGTGCAGTAAGATGGCGGACATCGGAATGTAGTATGTTTACCAGGTTAGGTTGGACCATAATTCCAGGTGCAAATACTACGGGAGTCACTTGGCTAGTTCCCGAACTCGTAATATACCTAAGATAAAGAAAATTGGAAAAAAAATATGAGCTAACCTCAACCTGGTACACATACTACGTTCCGGTTTCCGCCATCTTGGTTCACTTCTGAAGCGCCAAAAAATCTGTGTGTACCATTGGGAACAATTTTGCATTCCAGCGTTCTAATTAGGGCTGTCTAAGCGAACCAAATATTCGAAATCGAATCGAATCGCAAATTATTCGAATCGTTTTTCGGCTAATTTCCGAATCACTAAAATTAGGTACAAAAAGCGGAAACCACCTTTGCAGGACGTTTTTCATCGGACAAGTGGCGGCGCTTCGAGCTTAGACCACTCTCGCTCCCGTCTTAATTGGTTTCCCGATATTTCTCTCGCCTTGATTTTGTGATAAACATGTTATAATGCCCACCCGGTGGCACGTGATCAGCCATTTCATGCATGGTCATCATAACTTAAGAGTTATAATCGGTAATGACGTTTTTAAGAGAGTACACCATTTCATGCATGGTCATAATAACTTAAGAGTTATAATCTGTAATGACGTTTTTGAGAGAGTACACAAGGAGAAAAAAGGGCAAATTAGAAAACGATAGTTCTATAAATAGAATCGATTTGAAGCTGTTGAGTTAGTTATCATAAGAACATGGTACAGGCAACTCAAAGCTGAAACAGGTGTTTTGGGATCCTTATGATGGCAATACCTTCTTTCAATGGAATATGTAATTTTTTATGATGGCAACACTGTATTATCCATCTATATACCAAGACAAATAATTGCACTCTTGAATTTTGATTGCATATTATAGTCATCAAACTAGCTTCGAATTTGTTAAATGCAATTTTGAATTTGAGCAACAGTTTTATCCATATTAGTGGTTGTTATTATTTTGCTGAAAATTACACAAAAAAACATGAGACTAGTGAATAGGATTAGAATAGCATTTACAGGCTTTACATGTCCTATTAAAACTGAATCCATTAGAATTGAGATTGCAATTTTTGAATTGTGCAATTTTTACTCTTAACACTCAACAGTTTGAGACCTAAATTTTGGAGTCCTCCACTTTTTTTTTACCAGTTCATGCAAGCGTTTGATCACCTTTCATCTGAAATCATTGTATTGCAAAATACCAGCAGTAAGTAAGATGTACATATGTTACCATAACATTGAAGGGTAGGCGGTTATTGTATAATAGAGACAGATTCAGGATTGCGCAACAATATTCGATTATTCGGTTCGATTCGGCAAAAATATTCGATTCGAATCAAAAAATTATTCGAATTTGGACAGCCCTGGTTCTAATGTATTTGAAAATTAAAATTATGTGTCCAGATCCTTGTTCAATCTGTGACAAAACGCCTCTTCGAAATCCTGAGAAAGTCGAACTTTGATAATAAAAAACATTGGCATAATTATGTAACATGCTCACTATACTTCCAAGAACTGACTGCAAAAAATTCGATTTATTACCATCAGTGAAGTTGCGAGTTTTGGAAAATTTTGAGATTGGACCGTAATAAAGCATGATAAACTCTAACATCAACAGCTGGCTCCAACTTTCCTAACAGCATGGGATCCTTTTCTTGATGGTGGAAATTTATTGAGACGCCAGTTTTAATCTTAATAACGGTTAAATAATGATAAAAATCATATCTGAGAAAATTTTACGCACAGTAGGAAATAGGCCTCCTTTGTTTCACGTTGATAGTTGTAGAACACAATAACAGATATGATTGCTAATTTGTATGGAGCATGTCTTCGTTTTCTACATAAAGGAAAATATTGAAACAAGTTAAAATATGTAATATTTGTTGAAAAAATGTAAAAATCCCTAAGTTATTTGTAGTTAATGAATTAAAAAATCAGCTTTTTTGATCTAAATACAAAATCATCAGTATTATCAAAACTGGTATGACTGTGAGTCACACAATTTTAATTTAGGCATTTTCATATTGATACTCCTTTCCACTTGTTATAATCTCATATTGTTGTTCATTCTTGTTATCAACTTGAATCGGAACTTCATATCCACTTTCATCTGATGTTGGTGTGTAGTTTTCATGGGGTGTTCGTTCATGGACAGTTAGCTGCTGATGTTGAATGCTTCCCATTTCCATTGAATCTTTGTTCTTTGACTTGTTGTTGTTGTTGCGATACCTTGGGTTTTATAGGAATTAAAAGTTATATTATATTTTAAGTATTTTCCAGCTATTAAGACTGATTTTCTGAAGGTAATATTTTGACTTGTTTTCCTGTTCAACTTCTTCCGCCATCTCGGCCCTAGACTAGACAACATGACACTTAACCCATAGACATCTAGAAAAAATTGCCAAAAGTTGACTTCATCTTATTCGACAGAAAGTACGGTAATTCAAATTAAAAGTTAACGATGACTTTATTAACAATTGCTTCATTGTTGATCTAGAACTAGCAGTCGTGGTGTTTTTCAATCGGTTCCAATCCTTTGTAGTAATTTCAAAAGTCTTGAGTAGAAATAAAGTCAAAATTTCAGACTTTTAAAAGTTTGATTTAACTTTGTAATTGAAATTAACTGGAGTTTTCATAGTAAAATTTTTGCCATCTAGGTATCAGCTGTAGATGGAGTTGATTTTAATCGGGTTTGGAATCGTTCTTTAGCTCAGAGTTCGAGCTAGAGATTGAGAGATTTTCCGTATTTTAAAGTCTGGTATTGGGGTTGGATTTTTTTGAACCTGGGTTCTGGAGCTAGTTGACTACTTTAATCAGAGTTTGTTTTAATGGCATATATTTGGAAGATGAAAAATATTTCTGAATATGCATTCCTGATAAAAACACTATGTTGAAATGCTCGTTGAAACACATTTCGCATTTTAGCATACATTTGCCTATATAAAAAATATTCATATTCACCTTAATATAATGAACATTAACAAAGCTCCAGCAATCAAACCCACAATTCCTGATACTGGAATAGCAATGATCAGTGCTGTTTGGGGATTCTTGATTTTTGTGTTTTCAGTTGGGCAATGGATGTTGTTTGATGTCCTGGTTGATTCAATGGCTGGGTCAGAATACTGCTTCCCATATAATGATGTAGCTGTCTGATAAGTCGATGTCTGCTCATTGATTGTGGCTGAATTTGAGATCAAATTCGGTTATATTTTAAAATTCCCTTTCAATTTCAAACAGTTATATAACTCACCAAGTGCAAGCGTGGTTGTTGGTCTACAATCTATTACAAGATATTGTATTGTGAAGTATTTTGTGTAACCAGCAAAGTTTCCTGCAAAATATAGTATCTTGTATGGGCCTTCTCCAGCTTTATTCCATGGAGTGATTGAATCACAGGTGTGATTTGCAACTGGAATTTTCTCTCTGATTTTGCTGATGTTGCAAATGGTTGATAAAGTTGCAAATACAAGACAGTAGTTGCTCTTAAATTCACATTTGTGTTCATCAGTGCCTGCATGAAATATAATATTTTTTTTACTTAACTGCCCTTTTTTCTGATTTGCAATGGCTTCATCTGAGTAAATAGCCTCCTTACCTGGGAATCTGATTTTTCCGGAGCAGTCTGCCGTACTGATGATACTATCTGTTGTCATTGGAAGCGAAACATTTTGTAACAACAGAACAACTGCAGTTTCATGATCTGTGTTCATACTTGTTGGTATTGTCCAATCACAGTTGCAGTTGTGTTCATTACTTGGTCCATATGTGATATTCTTACTCTCTGTTCCAAGTATTACATTAGGGAAGTCAGTGCATACTGCTGCTTCACCCAGACAATTGCAGAGAACTGTAAAAAATAGGCTGTTTCGTTCGGTTACAGTGAATTATTTATTCAAGCCATTGATGATTTTTAAAACTTGAGAATGTACTATAACTGATTTTGGAGCTCCAAAAGTATGTGCACCAAGATGGCGCACATCCTGAACATAGCATGCGTACCAGGTTAGGGTTCAGGTTGTGCGCCATCTTGATGCACATACTTCGGGAGTGCCTGATTTTAATTGATATCATTTGGCCTTGTTGATTGACCTTTATGAGCAATTAATTATCGATCTTTTCATTTTTTTTCAGTAAACAACCCACTTGGTGGCAAACTAAAACTAAATATCTAATGCTCGAAAGTCGAAACTGTCCCTTTTCTCTAGGGAGCGTTCACTATCATGAAACGTATTGCGAAATACACAGACTTCAAACCAAACGCCTATATATGTTAGAGGTTTTACCAAACAAGATGCCAAGCACTAGAAAAACATGAAATTTGAGTTTTAAAAAACATGTGTCAAATTATGATAGGCACATAAATGAATATTTTTTAAAATATACTTTCGTAATCGTACCTATACGCTTTCTGAAATCCGAGACATTTTCTTTTTGTATAATATTCATATCTAACCCAAAAAATATCACTGAATTTTATTTATCTTAAATAGATGTCTAGGGATTCTGTTAGACAAATGAAATTTGCTTGTTGCTCACCTGAGATCACTGAAATAAACAAGTAAATATTGTCCATTTTTCGAAGTTTATTCATTGCTATGCAATAGGCTGATTTATTGTTTGGATAAGCCCTCGAAACTTCAGCCAATTTATTCTGGATGCCACTACTTCCACATCTTCTTACAAACCTATTTCATACTCTATAGCTGCTTTATGGTGCAATAGCCAGGTATGTTGTCTTATGACTGTAGGGGTTGCTGTTTCGCTTCATAAAGTGTTTTTGTTTTAAGTCTCTTGTTATAGCTTTTCGTGGGCGGACCGGTAATCACAACATTTCCTGGTGAATTTAAATAGAAAAAATTCGCATACCAACAGTGTACCGTCTTCTCGCTTATTTATCTATGTATTTTATTCCACCATTCAGAGTTTGACGGAAATCCACCTACTGGGAAATATACTGTATCAACTTCCTAGTCTACATGCAAGGCCTAAGCCCATTGCAAAACTACAGTTCATATCAATATATAACTCTACTTATTAACGTTGCTCCATTTAGCCCTAATAATCCTCTGGATTCAATATTCTGAATTGTCCAGCCTTATATATGCATTTGGGTTCTCCAGATACGTGTGTACCAATATGGAGATAACTAATTTTGTTTGCCTTCTTTACATCAAGTTGTGTAAAGGACTGAAACTGATGGGCAGGGGGTATATTTACTTGGGTAACACATACAGTCCCCGAACTCGTAATTGAACTAAAATAAGAAAAATCGGAATAAAATCTTTTCTTAACCCAACCTGGTATACACACTACGGCAGTACCTGTATTTGTATGTCTTAGCAAACATATATGGCAGGGTGATACCTAATTCCAGTTTATATAAAAACTTTGTAAAAACTATATATTTGATCAAATCTTTTTTATTTTAGTTATTTTAGCCAAACAATGCACTTATTAAATGAAGACACATCACTGTATTGCATATCAGCATGGAATGATCAGGTGAGCATTACAAATCAGATCCGTACTCCAGAGGTATGTAAACCAAGATGGCGGATACCGGAACATAGTATGTATACTAGGTTAGGGTTGGGCCATATTTTCAGGTACAAATACTACATGAGTCAGTTAGTCCCCGAACTCATAATAAAACTAAAATAAGGAAAAATGGAATAAAATTATGGTCTAACCCTAATCTTGTACACATACTTCGTTCCGGTGTCCATCATCTTGATTCACATACTTATGGAACCCAAGCAAATAATATAAAAAAATATTGTTTTCAATTCATTTTTCCATATTTTTCAGTCGACCACTGTAATACCGCTTTTGTGCTTGCTATAATCATTTGAATAACTTATCCCAGAAAATTTATAATTAATGTCAAAATTTTTTTTTATTACAAATCTTCCAAAATATTAATATGGGAGATATTAGCAATAAACATACAATTCAAAAATTTTTTTCGACTCGAAAGTTCTGTTAGAATTAGTAGTGGATAATTTTTAATTCTCTTTCATATTACCCTATACTTGCAGGCTTATGATCATTCATCTACCGACCCATCTTTACTCTATCGAGTTGAAACAATGCCAGGTTTAGGTTGGATGCTCAAACGTTCTTTATTTGTTGAAGAATTGGAACCCTATTGGCCTTCACAAGAAAAGGTGATTTCAGCATATCATTTTTTTACATCATCTATTTCTTTTATCGGCATGGTAGGTTAGTGCAGTGGCCCACATCTTTTTTCGATATGGTGGTTTGTAAATTTGTTAGACAGCTATTTATTTTTACAAATAAAGATTCGAAAACGAGCTTGGAACAATATCCCACAAGTTAACCTTCAAAACGCTACACGAGCTTTGACTTCTAGGTTAAGACACTGCCCTAAAGTGCATGGCCAACATTTTGAGCATCTATGAGTGTAATATATAACATATGCCTTTGATAAAACTTTGTAAAAGTTATTCTATGTAAAAATTAATATCTGTTCGACAAATTTTCTGTTTTTCCAATGATCACCTTGTATATCCACTCTTCGGCCATATAAGATTTTTTTATTCTCCCCACTATGCATATTCCCTCCATTCCTGTTATTTATTCAATCTTAAAAATTTACTAGCTATAGCTTATAGTGTTACTTGCACTCAGGCTTTTCCTCATTTTAAATGGTATATAATTGAAGCATAAATGTGTTTTGCAGTAACAATAAATAACTAAATATTAATAAAACTGAATACAAAGTCATATTTCTGTATTTTTGTCCCGAAAACAAAAAAATTCCTCCTACATTTAGAAACGCTGACCTATTAGTTAAATTGTTGGACTCAACTATGTTGGAATTATAACCTGAAAGTCTTGGGTCAAAATACTTGGTCTCACCCAGGGGGTAACAATTTAGGATGGGATAGGGTTTACATATTTATCAGGTGGAATGGAAAGCCCATAATTATGGTTTGATTATTATATGGCAAACCACGGCCTCTTGTCCTGTTACCAGTCCATGTAGCTTATTTCTAACACTCTGTCGCTGTAGGCAATGATGAATACGCAAATATGGTTCTTCTGAAATATAGTGGCCCGTTACCCAGCGATTGTACAAGGTATTGTTTGGAGTGAAAGGTTCATGAAGTGTTGTATTAAGAAGGCCAGCTCTGTAAAGGTGTGAACACTTTGTGGTGTAGAGAGCTATAGCCATCCGATGAAATTTCTGGAACATTCTCAAAATTTGTCACTGTCTTCTGATACAAATCAAGTTAAAAAGCATAATCATTTAGGAGTCCTCTTAGTCTCTGAGCCATAGTAGATTCACCAGTTTCTCTTATTTCTATTTTCAGCGCTGGGACTGGGATATGTGGATGCGATCTGACACAATGAGAAAGGGAAGAGAATGCGTGGTTCCAGATGTTCCCAGAACTTTTCATTTTGGATCTGTTGGAATCAACATGAATTCCTATTTTTTTGAAATGTATTTTGAAAAGCACGCTTTGAATAAAAGAGAAAATGTCAGGTTGAAGGTGGGCTGTTTGCAGGATCATATTTCCAATATTTTATTTTGATACCATTATAGTGGAATATTGGGTACTTCTGCTGTAGTGTGTGTTATTCAAGTTGTGTAAAAGACTGAAACCTATGGGCAGGGGGTATTTTCACTTGGCTAACACAGACAGTCCCCGAACTCTTAGTCTTAATAGAACTAAAATAAAGGAAATCTGAATAAAATTATGGCCAAACCCTAACCTGGTGCACATACTACCCATATCATTGCCTATTTATAGAAATTGATTTTTATCTTGTGAAAAAGGTATTGTATGGTTACCAGAAGTTAAATGAACTGATTGGAACACTAGATTACGCAGATTATAATTTTTTTTTAAATATTCGAAATACATACTGAAATCAGAATCGGATTGAACTAATTTTGAATGTATTCAATTTGTTTTTGTCACCAAAAGTTATTCTACAGTTATCAGGACTGGTTTATACTAATTGTGCAGACCCATAATATTTTTTTTTATTAAAAATACTTATTATTTCCGAATTCTATATCAAATAGTAATTTTAGTAAAAGTAATTTTGAATGAACTTAGGTAGGTTTTTGAGTTGTTTTTGTTACCACTTGTCGCAATATCATAGGTATTATTTTCTATTATTCTCAGGATGTTGACACAATAAAGAAAGCACCATATGAGAGGTTGATGCATACTCTTGTCAGAGATTCAAAACTTCTCGATCATTCGAAGTCACCCTGTGATGATAATTTCATAACTGAAGAACTCTCGCTTAATAATACATATGTCGCTTATTTCAGGTAGGTTTGGCAAATTAAATTTACTACGTATTATTCTTGAGTATGTATTATTATGTCCCGAAGTCATATTCTAGGACAGGGCTACTCAACTATTTTCATTTCCGGGGTCCCGTCAGTCCAAGAATATACTTTTAGCTTTGCTTGTTTTGCTTTGCTTACCTTGTTTAGATTGAAAAGTGTAAAAATATATTTTATATCAATTTTCTGATTTACCGACTAACTGCAGAGCAAAAGCAATGCTTAATAACACGCTCCGGTGCCTGTATGACAAGCTAATGTTTACCACCATGTCTGAAAATCTGTGAAAATGTATCCAAGAAGCTTCAGTTTTTAGGTTGGCATTGACATCTTCTTGTTCAGTCACACAAGTACGTCGATGCTCTGAGAAACTTATAGTACAATGACACAGTGGTTTATGGTTTAGCGAAAAATACATTACATAATGATTGTGAAATAAAAAGAGACGATGCATTCAAAGTCAAGAAGCAGCCGTGGTCCAAATTTAGCACTCGAAAGGTCCGTATTTAGACTGCGGTCCGCCAGCCAGTTGACCAGCCCTGTTCTATGGAAGAACCTTCACTTAGTTTAGGTTTGGAAGTGTTTGAAAATTGAATTTGGAAATGAACCCAAGATGACCAAACAAGACTCCAGTTTAAACAAGTACTTGAAATAATTTGGCATATGTTGTCGTCTGGGGACATGCAAGTGAAATTAAAAATTCCATCAAACTAATTTCCCTCAAGGTTGTGGTGTTGGATGTCGGAGTATTTTCAAATTTCCTGAAGTTTGAATAAAAATTCTAAATTCCCTTTGTTGTAATTTCAGTCTTTCAATGGTGATTAAGGCTCGCATATGCCAAGTATTTGTTATCAAAATTCAAGATCACAACTGAAGTTCTCATCCCTGATTCCCCCAATGTAATTTAATAATTTATCTTTTTATTTTACACCAGAATGGACAAAGAAGGATCCACAGATGTATTCATAGAAGTCTTGCGATGTTTAAAGCTTTGGGACTTGGAAGCAAGAGGTCTACATCGAGGAGCATTTCGTACATTTATAAAGAAGAGACATGTTATATTTGTTGGCTATCCTGCTTCCACTTATAGTTTATATAAACCAACTGATGTTAATCCTATTTTTATTGAATCTAGTGATAAAAATGAGGGAGAAATTGTGAACAAATAAAAGTATGTTTCATTCGAAAAACGCGTTGAAATAAATGTAAAGTTTCAAAATGTGAATATTTAAATAATGAGGGCAAATGCGAATCTAACAATAGTTTCATTTTAAATTAGTTTCACACTCCCTCAAAAAAATTGTCTGTGCATATGCCCTCCTTGTGAAGCGGACCCCACCATTTGGAGAACCACTGGCGCAGAATATAGTACACAATATAGTATAATGAATAAATTCTGTGAAAGTGTTCTACGGTGTGTAAAAGCTTTCGAAGTGTTACATATGCAGATTTTTAATAATAAGATTCCTAACAAGCGATTATATATATATATATTGTGTACATGTGTCTCGATTGATAAAGTTCGCCAATGCTTAGTTGAGAATGGAGCCTGGCCCTTTATTGCTTTACCTGCCGCCTGTCTTGACAATTCCGCTTCAGTCTAGTTTTAATTGGGGTCTGTGTATTACTATACGCGCTTGCACTGCTTACTGATAGCTAGACTGTGGATTACGTTTTGATGTTTTGACTCCGGAATTAATAAAAGTGTGCCAAACTACAAAATTTGTAGACTCATTGTGATCAAAGTATTAGTTTTAGAATAATGACAATATTGTTCCTCTCATTTGAATTATTTCTTATATTGCATTTTCTTGTTGAACTACAGTATCAGTGTTGTAAATTGCTTTATTTTTTCAATAAAGTTTGTCTTGTTGCAATAAAATTGACAATCTGTATTTAAACTACGATTTTTTGGCAGGATTCCCACATTCGTTACCCCTAAATCGAATTATCTAATGATCGTACCTAATGATTACCCTTTATGGTACAGCAGTCATATTGTTAGTACATACTTTATCTTTGACCAAAAATGGCGATAATACTAACACTCAACACATCTTCCGATCGGGATTTTATCTTGCAATCTGTATCGCGAAGTATTTTTTTACATCCTTACGGACCTTGTTACTTGATGACTAGGCTCATCGATGCGAGCATTGCATGTCCAGTCTTTCCACAGATCAGTCAAAAGGGGAACTACAAAAGAAATTGTTAAAACAGTGAACGTCTAGAAATGACATCGGCAAACTACAGCCCGCTGGCCAAATCCGGCCTGTTGCGTAATTTAATATGGCCCGCTTAATGCTGCCACAACCAAACTGAAAACAAATTTTGAGCTCAAAAATAGCTCGAGTTTTGGCACGAGCAAGACTTATTGTCCACTTTTGCTTTAGTAACACTTTATATTAATAAAACTCTTTTTACATCACACTTACATGGCGCGCCAGTTTTGGATGAGCAAAATGTTTGGCACTTGGTGCGAAAACCTTGCTCACCTCTGGTCTACAATCCAATCTAGATTACCTCCCAAATTACCCTTTTTGATGGTAATCAACTACAATTGGGAAAAACTGGTCCAGAATAATATCAGTTTCACTGCTTATTACATAATTCCAAGCACAGGTCCGCTGAAGCCCAAAGTATTCCCAACAAATAATGCAGGCACATGGCGAAACCATTCACTTAAGGATAGTCCTGAAGTATGCGTACCGAGATGACGAACAGCAAAAAGTAGTATGTGTACCAGGTTAGGGTAAGGCCATAATTTTCGGTACAAATACTACGGGAGTCACTTGGCTAGTCCTCGAACTCGTAATAGAACTAAAATAGGGAAAATTGGAATAAAATTATGACCTAACCTGCTACACATACTGCATTCCGGTGTCCGCCAACTTGTTACGCATACTTCAGGACTACCCACATCAAAATGTAGTTTTGCAGACAGGGACAATCAGGACGTGAGTGCTTGATACATTCTTGAAGTGATAGCCTACCTTTGACCTTAGTGGTCTTGTATGAAATTGACTTATCCAAGTAATCATTTATTATCAACTAAGACTCACTTTGTATGATCAAAATATAATTGATATATACATAAAATTAAGTGAAATTAAAAGCACGCACTACATACTTGATCAAAATATTATTAATCAGAAATCTTTAAAACAAATGAGGCTCGCAAGCATTAACAAAAAATAATATTACTTGGTATAAGATTAAAATAATGCATTACATGGTTAATATAACAGATGCAGTTACAAATTATTGATTAATTGGGTCATACAGTAATAATAATATTGATAGTTGAACTTTGGACAGATTGTCAAAATATTTCATCTATGACCTCATTGGGGGACATGATTTCATATGGAAGGTGACTGTGTGATTCTACCTCAACTGTGTAAATATCTCATATTCAAATTAATTACTATGTGAAGATAAACATGAAAAATTACATGACATTTATATGTGAATCTGAATATTGTCTTTCTCGCTGAAACGAATGGGACTTTTGAACGCTTCATTCAGAGAAGTGGTACAATATAGTAATAATGTAATATCTACATAATTGATAATGGGTCTAATCACTCTAATTTCCGTGCAATACAGGGTTATTGGTTATAACAGTCATGTGATGACCTTGGATGGTATTCACAGCTGCGCTTGATGGTTCTGTTGAAGCTGAAATAATAAAAATATATATAAATGTCTGTGTTTTGCTGTTTTAAAGTCTTCAGCCAATCAGATGAAATTTTTAGGGCTAAACATAGTCCAACATCATTTTTACCATCAAGATGACACTCACAGTTTGAGAAAATGTGTTTTCATATACGGTAACTGAGAGTAAATTATATTTCAAAATCTTACTATTTATATCTGGCAGGTCACACAAAGCAGGTACCTATCGGCTGACAATGTTTTGACTTTTAAATTGAGGATATGCCGGACCTTCCTTTAGTCATTTGCTGCTACATTAAGGTATTTCAGACAAATAGATTTAAATAAATTTCAATAACGTGGCATATCCGAATACTTACTGATTGCATTTTTATCTAGAGGGTATGACACTTGAGTTTTCTTTTCAACTGGCCGGGGTGAGTCATCCAATAGTCGACTGAACAGAAGAGTGATTCTGTCTTTACCAGCGACTTTATCCATTTGAAAATCTTGCATGTGTGACCATTCCTCGACAAAATCACGATTGAGAGTTGTTTGCCATTCTCCAATTAGCCTTTCTGGTTCAACACCGAGACATTTGAGGAAAAAACCAGCGGTTTCTTCCAATTTTAGCTTGAAAGTTGGGATAATAAATGAAGATGGTATAAAGTTAGCTTTCAGTAACTTTGTTTCACATTTCTGCATGATGGATTCATAATCCAAACATGTGACACACACAAAGTTGTCATTCTTGTCAAAGTAAACCATGTTGTGCATCCGGAAAGAAATCGGCTTGGGGATCAGACTGTATGGCAATTGAATAATTATTGCTAATGTATATGGAGAAAAATGATCACACTTAAACTCGACTGCACTGTTTTCAGTCAAAACACTGGAGCATACTTTATCCCACTTATTGTCCTCAAAGCACATTACATCAACAGATATGGGTTTTTCTACAATGATATGGGGTAAAGTAAGTTTGCAGATAACAGGGTCATCAAATCTTTTTTGTGATGAACGAAAGTCCATTATAGGTGTAATGCAGAAATATTCATCGGGGAGAGTCGGTACACCCTCAGTACAATTTGAAATTTCAATTTTGGTTCCATTCTTGACAGCGCCTTCAGGAAAAATAAGAGTGCAATTTCCAGCTCGAACAATGTCTCCTCCTTTTCCAATTGTTTTACCTGGGAAAAATAAATGTAATAACTCTAATATTATGTAAATTGACTGATTTGTGGGGGGGAGGGGGTTAACCATCACCAAAAAAGCCATATATATATATGGCTCACAAGGTAGCTTAAATTTGATAAAGATGGCCTCCCAGTTGGCGTATAAGCGTTACCAGCATGCTTGCCATTGCAGGTTTTATATCCCATTTGGGATAATTATTTTAAAGTTTGGAGTTTCATTTCCAGTGGGAGATAATCATGCAAGAGAGGTTTGCTAAACTTTTTGCCAGTATTGTGTGTTTCACACAAACCTGTGGTACAAACCCTTCGACATGAAATGTTAACCAGATGAGAGGCCATTGTTCGCCATGTTATTGAGCCATCTTACAGACTTTGCTCTTCTACAAAATAGTTCAAATATATTTAAATGAGAAAACATTAAATATGTTTACTCAATATAACATTGGGTTAGTTTTGTGAAAATCAACAACAAAACTGCAACCTACTTGTTTGAATGTCAGTTTTGGATATAAGCTTGTGGTAATGACCACCAGACATATCAAATATGGAGACAGAATATTTGTCTCCCGGATCTATGCCATTTATGATCGCTGAACTTCCAGTCGATGTTGTTGCAATTTCATGGCCGCTTGACAGGGATCTTGCGACAACTTTCATATTTCTTGGAGATTCATTTACCAACTGGACCCAGATTGACGATTCTGAAATGAAGAGATTTCAGATATAGAGGATGAATTTTATTTTATGTCTAGAAATTTTAAAATTCAAATGAATATCAAAAGCATATACTTTTTCAACTTTGAAATCATAAACTAAGATTCATTTTTGGGGGAAACTGTGATCTAATAAAATGAGTAGATGTATGACATATACATATATTACATATAGCAGAATGGGGCTACTAAACTGACAAACTGAAAAAAAACTGTAACCTCACCCTAACCTGGTACACATACTACCGGAGTATCAAGAATTACCTGGAATATTTTCCACTATTTCAGATTTTTTTCCATGTGCGAAATACTGTTGCTCTGACCATTCATCGAATGTTATATGGCTAATCACTGTAGTAGCGTTAACTATCGAGCATGTTATAGTATTGCTTTTCTGTTCTTGGCCTGCGACTACGGTCTCGTGGCATTTGATGGTTTTTGAAATATTAATGCTTTCTGGGTCAAGGCTAAATTTCCAGTCAAATATGACGTTGTCAGACTTCTTTACTGCAATATTGACTGTTTCACCCAATTTCATGGTGAATCTTTGATGAGACACAGGTGATCTTGTTATGGTTTCCACACCATCATCCATTGAAACTTCACAAATTATTTGTGAATCCCCTACTGGGTAGATTTGGCAAGTTAAGTGAAAGAGGACACTTCTTGCACTTCCGTCAGAAGGCAAAACAATTGTGTAGGTTTCCCCGGCATCAAGCTCACAATGCACGAATTGTTGTTTTGATATTTGAACAGTCCCAATGTTTTTCCATTTATCCCGTTCTGATTGGACAATTGTAGCTGTCACTTGTGTTTCCAAGGAAGAGCAAAATACAGGAATAGTGCACGAAACTTTTTCCGATTCAGAAGGGAGAGATTTTGAAGTGGTGAATACTTTGCTGAGCTTTATGTAGCCTTGGAAAGAATGGCTGTCTTTATTATTTATGAATTTTATTGGTAATCTAACATTGAATGGACGTTGAGATACGCTTCCTTCGGCATGAAGAGACCTGTACTCACTATCTGGTAGTATGGTCGAAGTATTTTCAGTAGTTTCTCCAATGGGTTCTATAAACAAGAATTATTGAAGTTTAAAATCTTGGCCACTGTATAAGCTTAAAGTACAGTTTTATACTAACAAGACAACATGACATGACATCCATTTTTCCATCACAAAAGCCATACTTTTCAGCCGGTTCTGTTACAAAAAGTCTAATTTTGTTAGCAAATAAACTGATTATTTTTAATTACTTCCCAATTAACATTTCAAAATAATGGTTAAGTGAGCATCAATTCGCCACAATTAGCATTGAAATTTTAATTGACGATGTTGAGCAGTCGTCTCATGACTTGTACTTATGAGTCATGACGCAACAATTCAATTTTCAGACAAACAACCACAAAAGGAAAATTACTACAATTATGAAAATATGATACGTGTGAACTTGATCATTTCACATTTCGAAAAAAACATGTGAGCTTCTTGATATCAAAAATCGGTGTGACAAATAAGATGCAAAAATCAATAGACCGTAACCAGTAATGCTAACCGGTTCATGATCTTATAAAATTCCGTGAGACGGTTCTATAGAACCGATGCAAACCGGCTGAATCCCACTGCTTATATATGAGTTATGAAAAATCGTGCAAAAATATTTCGAGCTATTGTATTTTATGCTTATCCGTCAGTCAATAAATAAATAATTAAAAATGTGGTGCAGTGGTTAGAAATAAATTGAGTGAGATAGTTTCAAAATGTTTCCAATCACTGAAATGAGTTTCAAAATAGATATGGTATCACCTGTGTTTGACTTGTCTTCAGAATATACTGGTGGCGTTTGTAAGTTTTCACTGTGTGTGCATGATTGATAGTTGGATGAAAGACGTTTCATAGAAAAATTACTTGATTTTTCGCTCTTCACCAGGATTAGCTGAAAAATTGAATGATCTAGTTCATAGGTTCTCAAAGTGCTCCGTACGGAGCCCCAGGGCTCCGCGAGTGAAACCCAGGGGCTCCGCAAGCTATTCGATTACTTTTCAAAATACTGACTTGGCTAATGGTGTAACTGTTCAAAGAAGCAATAACAGCTTCGATAAAATCTGACAACAATATAGCCTCGAAATATGACAAAGAGGCGGAATTAAAAAATGACATTATTTGTAAGCAGGAGCACAGCCAGGATTCTTAAGAGTCGTTCAAAATTGGAATCGGAAATTTCCGCGCAACATTCGCGATTAAAAAAAACGGATAACGAGATTTCTGTTGCGTAAAATATTCAATCCATGACCGACGCGAGCATTTACCGTGTCTCGTCGTTATAATGTAATTGTGCTCATCGTTACTCACGTTTGATTCGAGATTACAATTATGATTACTAAAATGAAAGAATACTATTCTAAAATAACATAGAATACGTGATGAACTGCCAACTATAAATAAATTTGGAGTCGTATTTTTGCGATCTTGGGCTTTGTCAAACTTGATTCGTTCTTTCGCACTTGAGATTATATTTAAGCAAGATATCACCGTTTAAAGAATCACATAAAGTCTGGGCAAAATACGAACAATCAAAATTTATTTTATTGCATTCGGCTTCGTCGGTAGTTTCAGAATATAAAAAAGGTATATCGCGGATCGAAATTTTGTGATTGACAATGTCTATAAAACCGTTTTCAATCTGAGGTGAGTCTGCTGAAACCAAACGTGTGATCTCCCATATTAAGTTTTAATATTTTAGAATGCCTATTTTCAATCAAGAATTTCGAGTTGCCGATTTACCTCTTTACTAATTATTATTTTCAGCATTTCGTCGTCGACGATTATAAAATGTTTACATATTTTTCACATTGAACTCATAATTCCCCACGAGAACAAAAAAGCAATTAACTTCGTCATTGTGTAACAATACATGTATATGCCGAGGGAAATTTTTTATTTATGGAGAATAAACACCGACGTAAAGATGTTTAAAGGTTCAAAAATACGCCATGCTGAGGAAAAAATCGGCCATTGTAACAAAATGCAATCGCGCACGTTATTAGCGGCCTTTTAAGTCTTCCAAAAATGTCAAAAGGGAAAAGATTTGACCCCTAATTCATTAGTATTTTTGCCAAGTGTCAAATTTACAGCTCTAGTATATATAATTTATGTTTGAAATTTAGATTTATTTATGACTTGTATGATTTATGAAGTACATTTAACTTGCTCAGGAATATTATTCTGAAAGTAAAAATTTTAACATTTATTTTTGGGCTCCGTGAATAATAGTCAACATTTTCAAAGGCTCCGCAACACCAAAAGTTTGAGAACCCCTGATCTAGTTGACTTTTTCCCTAGTATGAAGACCATAGGACAGATTGTCATGTCCATTTGTTGAAGCCATCATATCAACTCCTTTAATATTGAAAATCAGATTTTTTTATATAGCCAATAGATAATTAACATTGAATTTTTTAGTACAGATAACAATGCTCTATCAGTATTAAATTATTTTTTGGAATCTGGTTCTTTCATTCACCTTTAAGATGAAATGAACAAAAATATATTTTTGCTGTCCTAAAGTGGAACAATAAATCTCAAATGAAACACGAAATTTGTTAGTTACAATAATATGCAATCGGGAATCCAAAAACTAAAACTCAATAAATACCTTCGCAGAATATTTAGCACCTACATCCGTGTTTGGGTTCTCTCTTATTGCATTGTCTATCGACAACGTTTTTGTTGCATCATTACAGGCGTACTTCACTTTCACATTAGAGCAGAATTTTTTTGGTAGCCTTCTCAGAAACTCAGATGCTTTTTCCACTTCATCAGTTGTGCTTTTGTCTAAAATTTCAATTTTCGTTTTGCACATTTGTAAAAGTTTTTCATCATTAAGTTCATTGCAGATTGAAAACCAGTCCAAAGTTATTTGTGGTTCAATGTAAATTTGATTTAGGATATTTCCAATATTGTCTTTGATAAATTTCTTTACAATCTCACATTTATTGAGAACTTCTCTTTCATCAATTACTATATCAGCTGGTTCAAATATTTTCTTCGCAGCTTTCATTGTTTCTTTTCTCAGCAATCCTGCAATCATTATCCATATCTTTGCAAATGAGCCAAACTTTAAAGATTTTTTTCTCAATCTTTTCTTGAAATCATCTAATTTGCAGAAAAATGCAAAGTACATGGCAATAGTAATGTAATCCTGCAAAACGTCACAGTTTATTGAAGATTTTCTGCTGACAACGGATCTCTCTCCATACTCCAAGAATGATAGACCACCACTGTTTATAGACGATTCCATGACCGATGTAGCAACTTGTGATTGGCTGTTTGACCTGTCTTTTCTTTTTTTCACTTTCTCTGGATTGATATTAGCGGCTTCAATTCTTTTTGGTACTTCATTAATTTTCTGCCACAAATGATTATTAATTTTGACTTTCTTTTGAACCAATGGATATCTGTTCAAGTTCTCAAGGATAAGTTGAACGAGTATGGAAGAGAATGAGTCGATGTCTGCCTCGATTTTATTATTTTTTATCATGTACAAAATACTTTCACAGAATCCTGGGTTTGCACAAAAAAATTGGAAAACTTCGGGAACATCAGCAATATCATTTTTCTCTCCCAAAATGTTTTTCTTCATATTTATGATTCCAGTATCATCAAAGCCATAAATTTTTACAGACAGTGTGGGGTTCAAAAACTGTTTCACCGAATCATGTGATGTAGAGCAGAATACTTGAGACTTGGGGAATACTTGTCGATTGGTGACTAGTAGGTTATAAAAGATTTGATTTGGTAGTTCTTCATTTTTATAAAGAAGATTACGAGGATTGAATTCAGGTGATAAGTTGAAATTATCAACAACAAATACAACTTGGTTAGAGTTATTCTTCATCCAATGAAAAACAAAATCTATTTCTTCTTCAGGCAGATCCGGCATGTACTTATGCAGTATTGCTTTTACATTAAGTTTTGTTTTGAGTGCTTTGACATCTTCGTAATCGAAATAAAATGCCAGTTTCGCATTGGGTACATGTTGCAAGAAATAGCTGCAACATGCAGTTTTGCCTGTGAAATTCTCTCCAATAATCATTACTGTATCTCCTTCTTTAATTTGAGTTGCTTGTAATTCGAGGTCTCCTATGACATCACCGCTAGGAATTTTAATGAGCTTTGGTGTAACGAATGCACTTTTGTCCAGAAGGTTTTCAGCCACTTGTTTGAACTTTTGTTGCAGAAGAGAGACAACTGTAAAATAAATTCATGTACACATAAAGATTTGACTGCAATGGCTCATGCAGGTACAACACAAAACAAGTTTTTACTGTATTGTTCTAATAAAGCCAGTTCAACAGTAAAATTGCCCAGATATGGGCTCGCCGGTGTTCCGCATGATGATAAACATAAGGAATATGCTCGCCATCGCACGTATGTTTACCCTGCTTGGGTTCGCAGGTTTTATTAATACCATGCGGGGATAATTATGTGCGACAGGATTGATGGACTCCTCACCGCCAAAGGGTGTTTCACATGCCGCTGGTCGGTTATGGCTTCCTATACCATCAAGTCCATGCATATAAAAACAGATACCCGACAAACTATCCCATATCCGACATGGACTGCTCACCGGACGAGAGGTCATGGTTTGTTATATGATCAAGCCGTCTTGTCGGTTTTCCTCTCCCTCTGGATAAATTTATGAATCCTATCCTATCGAGAGTTCACCTACATATTACTATGAATAAGGTTGATATCAATTACTTGATATTCAGATATAATGTTGCAGATGCCAACTATTTCAAGTATTCTACTGAGGAGTACATCATTTCATTAAAGAGCTGAAAATACTGTTTAAGCACATTAAATAGCAGCGACTCGTGAGAGGTCAAACACACCTACTTATAAAAGATTGGGACAAATTGGTAAAACACATCTGATTTTCAAGATGTCTGTGTTATGAATAAACTTTCACTGTTTTTAATCGTTTTAGCAGGGTTATTGGTGTTTTTTGACTGTTTTTCACTGTTTTTAAGCGTTTTAGCAGGGTTATTGGTGTTTTTTGACGGTTTTTCACTGTTTTTAAGCGTATTGTATTTCAAGTATTCTACTGAGGAGTACATCATTTCATTAAAGAGCTGAAAATACTGTTTAAGCACATTAAATAGCAGCGACTCTAAGAGGTCAAACACACCTACTTATAAAAGATTGGGACAAATTGGTCAAACACATCTGATTTTCAAGATGTCTGTGTTATGAATAAACATCTCATTTTTGACTTCAAATTGCAAGCTCTAAGAAGCTATGATTGGAAAAACTGTTATGTTTACTGTACATTTTTACAATTCAAACCCAATTTTAATTATTGTTCGGTTATCACATATTGTGTTTATCAAGTATGTTATTGGTTGTTATACTGCCAAAGCAATCGAAAAGTTATGTGAAACAACATGGCGATAACTTGGTGGTTTTGGGGAAACGACCGTCTGGATATAAGAAGTTTGGCAAATGTTACTAAAATAGTGAGAATAGTAAAACAGTAACATTGAATAAGATCAGTATCAATTTCTTTAAATATTTGAATATGGAGTCTAGTTTGTAAACGTAAACTTTACATTGTTCAAACAGCTTACCTTGTCTAAACTTCAGCACATTTGATAATCTACTTTCACCAGCAGTGTTGTAAGACTGCACTGTTACTTCTATATCGACCAGGTCTTGACTTTGCAATGTATACTCAGGTAATTCAGAGTTGAAACTTTTGTTGTTGACTTTGAAAATATATCCGTCTGCACCTTCACATGATTTGCATGATATCTTGAACTCTTGGGTTGAGAGTATTTGTTGTTGAAGATCAGTTGGAACAGGGGGAACTGGGACAAAGTGGTAAAAATGGGTTAAATAAGTTTTTATGATAATGTAGTGCTATTCTTATTTTTTAATCTTTTTTGCCTCATTTTTTTTTCTTTGCTATACAACAGAATTTCTCAAAACAAGGGTATATTTCAACTTTTCAATGAATATATACGATTGATTTTCATAACTTCTATTATATCTTGAAATTTCATTTTCATGTTAATAATTTGAAGACCTGAGTTCGGGAACTTCTTAGGAGGTCACAATTTTATCACTGTAGAAGCACTAACTACAACTACAGTAATTACCAAGTCTACTGTCATTTCACAAGACTATATTGTCCAATCACAACATGAAAAGCAATTTTTAGGGTACATAAGCGTAAAATAAAAACCCCAAATGGTACCTATCCACTTTATTTTTAGGAAACTATATGCTATAAAAATTTTGTAATACTATAAAATATCCTTCAAATGATAAGAATCGAATTATTGGAGCAATGTGAACAACAATTTTCAATAATAAACACTAATTTCCAACAATAAAATACACTAAAAAACATTTTTATCGTTAATACTTCTGATTATTACCTGTGTCAAACTGTACAGTAGAAGACCTGTCACCTTCACCACTATCATTAATTGCAGTGACGTAGACTTCATATTTTTTCCCAGGTTCCAAGTTTTCCAAAATTAATTCGTCTTGATAAACAGTTTCTTGTTGCCACCCTCTATGTTCTATTCTCCAATGAAATACATATTCTAAAACATTGTCTATTTTGTTCCACATGAATTTTTGTTCTTCATGGCCGATGCTCATGGTTTCAACAAACAGCGATGGCGCAACTAGAGAATATAAATAAGATTATAGGATAGGAGTGTCATATTTATACCAGGGGAGTGAAAGGCTGATAGAACAGTCAAATCATATGGTGTACCAAAGACCCTTGTTTGACTTACTCTTAGGATTAGGATTAGGATTTACATATTTCTCCCGGGGGAGAGGAAAGTCGATAAGACGGCTTATTCGTATGGCGAACCACGGCCTCTCGTCCGGTTACCATTCCAAGTCGGGTATGGGATTTGTTATATTGTTTGTTTTCGGAAGCATGGACTTGGCGGTGGAGGAAGCCGTAACCGACCAGCGGTTACGTGAACCACTCAACGACAGCGAGGAGTCCAGCAATCCTCTCGCACATAACCATCACTGCATGGGATTGGAACCTGCGAACCCACGCAGAGTAATTAGAGGTGCGGTGGGGAGCGTATTTCTAACGCTTAGCCCGTTGAGCCACACCGCCGAGCCAACACCAACACCGCCTTACCATGTATGGGATTAGTGAGCCAGTTATTTGTTTCAGACACGACTCAGTTGTGTTCAACAATTTCATTATACATGTTATCAAAGTTGCGATCGCTCTTAAGTTCCCAAAATATTTGGGTGTTAGTTAAAATATGTTCACCATCACGAAAATCCAACACGTCTCTCGCGACTCCCATCGCACAAATAATGTTAAAAGCTTATCTATTTTCTATGCCAGTCTTTGTACATTTGTTTTTCGTGAAGACTATCAATTGATTGTCTGACTGTGGATGAAGAGTTTGTGATACTAAATTATATATTTATATTTAAACTTGTGAAATATCTTACCTGTCGAAATCGGATCGGACAATATTTCTTCACTATTAAGTTTTTCATCTGTTTCATGCACTGAAGTCACTCCTACTTGATATTTTGTGCCCTCATGTAGTTCACTCATTTTAATGATATTTCCAGATTTTATAATTTCTTTGAACGTGCCTTCATTTAGGTTGATAAATCTGAGTTTGTATTTCGAAGTCGGTGATACTACTGATCCTTCAAGTCTTACAATAAGTTCAGTGGTTGGATTTCTTGTGCTGTTTTCCACCCGTACACTTTGTACTGGGTAAAGTGCTGCAAAATAAAGGCTGTAATAAGAAATTAAAACTTTCTCCCACTATCCAGAAACTAATATTTTCTAGTGTTATAATTCAAGTCACTGCCAGGGAAACAACTATGAGGAAGCCAATTTCCAATAATGAAAAATGGCTACCGTGGAAACTTATTGGTGATGAACAAATACCTTTGTAGTGTTACATTGAGATCAGAAGCCCATTCTAAGTTGATGTCTGCAGCTAGTTTTGGGCCGGAAATATATGCAAAATATGATTTCATTTTGAGCTGGAGAAGATAACAAAATAAAAATTCGAAGAATCAAACCAATTAAAATCAACCATTTTAATAGAAGCGATAAAATCACTTAATATGATGGCTGATGGACAAAATTTTAGTGGATGCTCAAATTGCTAGGTCATCGACCATTGATAGATTTCGACAAAAAACTATATTGCTTATCTTGTAGTAAGTACTCAAGAGTTTAAACTGACATATTTCCGTAAAAATGGAATCAAACATGTTTGATTTGATTCTACGTAAAGCTAATAGGATGGTATTTACTTCGAACTGAACAATTTTCTGAAAGCAGTCTAAAAAAGATACTCTGGAAGATATGCTATTTGGTTAAGCAATTGATAATTCAAAGTCCGTGACTTCTATGGCATGTTATTGTTATTTCAATCCCAGTTTGATTTGAGAAATATTCTAAAGTTAAATTGGTCATATCTCCGTTCCTGCAAATTCCAGTAGAATGACGAGTTCAAGTGGGAATAAGTCAATATATCATAAACCTCATATTTATTTGATGAATCAAACCAATGGTTGGCACATCATCCTAATAATAATTATGTGAGAGAGGATTAGATGACTCCTTGCCGCAAAATAGCAGTTCAGCTATTCGCTGATTGGTGTACTCCCGTAGTATGTGTTCCGGGTTACGGTTTGACCATAATTTTATTACACTTACTTTAGTTCTATTACTAGTTTGGGACTGTCTGTGTTAACCAAGTGAACATACCCTCTTGCCCATAGGCTTTCGTCTCTTTACACAACTTGATGTAAAGTTAGCAAACAAAATTGGTTACCTCCATATTGGTACACACACTTCTGGAGCGCCCTGGATGGTTACAACTTCTTGCACAAAAAGGTTCATGTAATTGTCTAACTATTCTCATGGACTGGTAACCAGTCATGAAATCTTGGTTTGCCATGTGATTATACCTTTTTTTCTTTTCCAAGTTAAATATAAAAATTTTATTTTATCAACAGTTTGGTAAAGTTTTTAGATTATGGAGCAGATCGGTGGTTATTATTTGTTTTAAAAAAAAACATAAAATATTGAGCTGCTAATTCATAATTGTAGAAATGAAAGACAATAGAAACCAAACAAAACCAAATTACATTATCAGCAGAAATACCTTTTTCATACCTGTCATAAAATTAACTGGCTTAGATATTTGTCCAGAACCTGCTACATTGACCGCCTTGACTGTCACAGAGAATCTTTTGTTCAAGGTAAGATCTGTCAGAGTAATTTCTGGTACATTACTGTCATGCTTGATTGACTTTCCATCTTCTTCTACAGAAATACTATACGACTCTGCTCCTTCCACATCATCCCAGTACACTCTTTCCGAATTCCCTGTAACGGCTTCACTTTTCAAGTTTTTGACAGATCCAGGTCCTGTTGTGAAAGTGAATGTTTCTCTTATGTCACAATTTTGTTCAATATGAGATGTATAATTGTAGGTTACAGCTTTCTTTACCAGCAATAGGCAACTAACTAAGAAAGTCATTATAAAAAAGGTTTGTTTCCTCAATGAGAACATGACAGCCTATACTAATCAAGTCCATGCGTTTGAAACTTAATCCCATACCACATGTACAGATAATCGAATGAGAAGTCGTGGTTTACCAAACTATCATCAAACGGTCTTATCATCTTTCATTTCTCCAGGATGAGAAGGAAAATCCTAGTAGAATCCTTCTGGGCTACAATATTTGTGATTGTGACACCCAATAACAATATTTTTAATGTACGAGTTTTAGGATATATTTCTTCCAAAGTATTGACGGAACATATTTGATGCGAAATGGTCAGTTGATATTGAAGATACATATGCAAGCAATTATGGAAAGATTAAAGAATTCGTTATTATGTAAATCATTTTACACAGGATGCAAACTTATATAGAGAGTTATTAGCGATTAAATGTAGAGTGCTTCACCTAGGCTAGCGATAATTCCTAATGAAGGTGAAATGAAAGAGAAAAATAACTTACGTATCCAAATAGGTTCAGCATGAGCTTTTTTGCTTTTTACTCCATTCGTTGCAACAGCTTGGACACAAACAGTGTAACAATGGCCTTCATTTAGATTTGGGAAGAGCGTTTGACATGATTCCTCTTCTTTTGTTTGAGAATCACCAGAGTCTGACTTTGCAGTGATCACATATTTACTAATTTCTTGATCTGAACAGGTGTATTTGACTTCCAGAGAAACATTATTCCCAGAGTAAATTACACGTCTGTGAATATCCCTGGGAGGTGAAAGATCTGAAATGACGAAAATATTAATATTTATCACAGAGAAATTTTGAATAAGGGTTTATATTGCAAAATAGCCCAATATTATAAGGATATGGTAATACAGACTGCTTTGCTTATGATAGGCTGGTTTATAGGCACAAAAGTGAGGGAGGAAATTTGTAAATGAAAATGGAGTTTGGAATAGGATAAAATAGACATATTTATCCCAGGGGGTGAGGAAAGCCGATACGACGGCTTAATCATATGGCGAACCACGGCCTCTCGTCCGGTTACCAGTCCAGGTCGGGTATGGAATTAGTTAGCCAGGTATTTGTTTTCGGAAGCATGGACTTGATGGTGGAGGAAGCCGTAACCGACCAGTGGTTACGTGAACCACCCTACGGCAGCGAGGGGTCCAACAATCCTCTCGCACATGATCATCCCCGCATGGGATTCGAACCTGCGATCCCACGAAGGGTAATCAGAGATGCGGTGGCGAGCGTATTCCTAACGCTTAGCACGATGCGCCACACCGCCGAATCTGTTGAATCTGACCTTTGTGAATAGTAGGTTGATGAGTGCGGTATTAAAAAGCAAATTGCAGGGCCAAGTGGATTATGTGGTGAATTTATATGGTTTTCATGGTCTTGCCTGATTGCTAGTAGTTGATTTTTGTCTATTCTTATAAAATTAACAAATTTGAGCTGAACATACCGGTATATGAAATTTATTATTCATCTACAGCAGGGGTCGGCAACCTTTTGTCGCTCGCGGTCCAAAATTAAGGGTTGCAAGTCGTTGACGGGCCGCGCATATTTTTGAAAAATTGAAAACCGAACTGATGATACTTATTATAACAAAAATCAAGCAGTGATACATCTCTCGAATAGAATATAAATTTATTCCCTCATTCCATTGCATCTCAAAAAATTCCATTTGGATATTTTCGGCGACATTGAAACCTTTGCACTTAGCATCAACTTTTCTGCGTTTTGTTGCCATTTGTCTAATTATAATTAAATTATTGGCTCATTAAACGAGTAATTGTGAATTATATACCTGTTAGGTTATAAAATAATTCAGTCTACATGTGTTTCACAAAAAATTCTGTTACGTTAAGAATATAATCGTCAAGCTGTTTTGTTATAATTTAGTGAAGTGTTGCTGGTCGGATCCGACCCGCGGGCCGTACGTTGCTTACCCCTGATCTACAGTAATGTTGACTTCTCTTTCTATTTTCATAAAAAAATAACTGCTTCAATAATTACCTGTCATAAACAAAATCTAATTTGAAAAGTCGCTTATTCCTGATGAATTTATTGCGGCAACACAGACTTTGTAAGCTTGACCACTATCTAGATTCGAAAGTGTGAGCTCTGTGTCTACTGTTGGAATCGTTTCGTAATTGCCATCACATCTTTTCTTCTTAACTAAGTATGAACTGGCTCCAAATACAGGATTCCAGCTAATGATTTGCGATGTAGGGGAAGTTTTGTCAGTTTTAACACTTTTCACCTTTCCTGGATCTTAAATAGAAAATTATGTGAAAGTTAAAATTGATTAATTATTTTTCGAATATCAGAAATTTCAATTAAGTTTTGCATAAGGTATTTTATAGGTGTTTTACCTGTTTGACCGCAACAAGTTTCCAGTAGGCCCTAGAATGCCTAGATCAAGGGTGAGCAAGGTTTTTGGACCAGAAGTAAAAAATTATAATCATCTAGATTGGCGGCCCATGGGAGTGTGATGTAGAAAAAGAAATTTTATGAACAAAATTTTATTCGTGTATAAAACAATATGCTTCGTGCCAAAACTAAATTGCAATCTCAACAAATCATTATTCAGATTTCAATAACAACGACTATGTAGTGCTGGAAAATTGGTTTAAAGCATAAATTCATGGCAGCATCAGCCCTAGATGCATTCTGCCACTTACATGAGGTGCTGCTTCGATATAAACCATTAAAACTGTAATTATTTTTTTATCCATTTCGCCTTGAATGTCTGTTTTCAATGTATGTATACGTATATTTACTTATCCATTGTCAGAAAATTGATAAATAGGATAGTATTTTCATATTTATTACGAAAGAGAGGAAAGCTGATAAGACAGTACAGCACAATGTCCAAGAATTTCCCTCCATTTGGCTCAATAAAACTAACACTCCATGTGTCTCACAAACGAGGGGCGTCTGGGACCACAACAGATGCTTCATATTGCGCCATGCTTGTCTCAATAATAATCTAAATTAATAATGGAGTTCACATGACCAAAATTGCCGTTTTTGCTAAAAAGTCTCGAATGATACAGTAAAAAGTATTTTCCTTCCGTGAATCGAATTATATTTTTCCAAGAATTCAATGATGACGTTACAAGATTGCGCTTTTTTGTAATATTATGCGCAACTTTATCATAATGTATTATTACCGATATTGAGGGACAACAATGTCCAGACGTTTCCCGAAGGAGGGGTATCTCATCATCTGTAAAATGGGTTTCTCTGCAACGGGACAATGTCACCCGATTTGTACAGTGTGCCGTACTGTAAGACGGATTAATCAAATGGGAACCACGCCTCTCGTCCGGTTACCAATCCAGATCAGGTATGGGATTAGTTAGCCAGTTATTTGTTTTCGAAAGAATTAATGTGATGGTGGAGGAAGCAGTAACAGACCAGCAGTTATGTGAACCACCCTACGGCGGCAAAACCACGCATGGGATTCGAACCTTCGAATCCATGCAGAGTAATCAGAGGTGCAGTTGCGAACGTATTCCTAATGCTTTGCACGATGAGTCATATCGCCACAATTAAGAACTAGCTTCAACCAACTCCAACTAGCCAGCTAGTCATGATGTGAACTATCCTACGATTGCTTGGAGTCAAGCAAGCTTCTCAAACATAAAGCTTTGAACTTGTGAAACCATGAAGGATAATCAGCAAATAGTAAGGATATTCATAACATGTGTGGTGTGGCATATAATGTCACATGTGTTCTTTATGCGTAATTCATGTGCCAGTCTTGTTCTTAGCAAAACAAATCATAAATGTATCTTACATGTTTGTATTGGATCCTCAAGTTTGCATGGTTCACTTTTAACTCCCTCCTTGGATGCAACAACCCATACATCATAGGCATCACCAGGAGTGAGATTTTCAATCTTTGCAAATCCTTGGTCAGCCTTGACTTTTTTTATTCCTCCTGTTGTCAAGCTTCTGTAGAAAACCTCATGTTCAATTCCTGGTAATTGTTGATAATTAAATTTCACTATGAATGAAGTGTCTGGTGATTTGCGTCCAGGCTGTACACAAAGATCAATTGGCTTCTCTATACCTGCAAATACGAAACATAAAATAATTAGAAAGAGATACATAAGCTATTGAAATGAGTTAAACTTTATATCTTAATACATGATTATATAATTAAAAGCTAAAAAAGAGCTAAATGAATATTGCACAATCTATCCCTTCATGCAAAATTGACTGATTGTACGAATCCTTGTTCTAAGTAAAGGTGCAAACTACCTATGGGGAGTCCTCGGGTTACGACAGTTGCGACTTACGCTGTTTCGAGGTTACGAACGCTCACTTCATAACGCTGTTTCGAGGTTACGAAAGCACTCCACAAAAATATAAAAGATAATACTGTACTGTAATATATAAGCCCTTAAACTGGATCATTGCGATCAAAAAAATCAGTGCTTTGGGTTCATTTGTTTTCGTCATTTACATTGTAAATGACGTGGACAGTTGCGAACTATTACGATTATGAACGAATAATCACTAAGCTTCAGTGGTACACAGTTTCAATGATACTGTACACTATTTTGGTTGTTCCGCATACACTAAAATTCGGGTTACACCGCTTTTCAAGAACGGAACACCGGGTAAGTTGAGGACTCCCTGTAGTACTAAATACAGTACCGAGTTTTTTAAGCAAGACAATGCTAATTGCGAATGGACTTAATTGCGACTAATGGATGCGATTACAGAGGCGAAACGCCCCCCCCCCCTTTTTTTTTTAATCAAAGAAAGGCATGAAACATAATAAAACAGAAAATGATTGAAACAATACATTTTTTACTCAGTAAAATGAATAACTGCTTAGCACAGAATTTCCTAAACTGAGGTTCGGGGACCCCTGGGGGTCCGTGATGACTGCACAGTCTGAAAGATATGGAAAGAACTTGGTCGATTTTTAATAATAACGTCATTATATCTCTTTAGGTTTAGCGTTGCGGCCGAATATCCATTGCTGTCAGAATTCAAAATTTTATTGCCTGTTGCAACGACCTACATGTATGAGACAGCTTGACTAATATAATGACAAAATACAGGTCGAAACTTGATAGGATTTAGGATAGGATTTACATATTTATCCCGGGGGAGGGGAAAGCCGATAAGACGGCTTATCCATATGGCAAACCACGGCCTCTCGTCCGGTAACCATTCCAAGTCGGGTATGGGATTAGTTTTTACTGTATTGTTTGTTTTCGGAAGCATGGACTTGGTGGTGGAGGAAGCCGTAACCGACCAGCGGTTATGTGAACCACCCAACGACGGCGAGGAGTCCAGCAATCCTCTCGAACATAACCATCCCTGCATGGGATTCGAACCTGCGAACCCATGCCGAGTGATTAGAGGTGCGGTGGCGAGCGTATTCCTAACGCTTAGCCCGTTGGGCCACACCGCCGCGCCTTGAGCCACACCGCTGCGCCGTAGAGTTGGCGTAGAGTTGGACCTACAAACTTGCTTGTCACAAATTTCTCTGAGAATTGATAAATTGTGGAGTGAAAACCAACCTCATCCACCACATTAATGTTGTTTGTGTCGCCAATGAAACATTATCCTTCCTCATTGGTCAGGCACAGAAATTTATACAGCATAGGATGGGACTCCGTCAAAATTAAGATTCACAAACAAGGGGCCGCGGCCCAAAAAGTTTGGGAAACCCTGGTTTAGCAGATATAAATCGACAAAATCATCAATTCAACTGAATTAAAGCGGAATTTATGCAAGAAAGATTTGTTTCTCATCCAATTATTCAACACAGTATTTTTGGAGGACATATATAAAACACATATTCAAATTTATTATTTAAAAAAAATTTCACTATGCGAAAAGTTGGGAAGGATATATATGAAACTCGAATTAAAATTTCAAAAAATTCCACCGTGCAGAAAGTAGGGAATTTTCCCCCAATTTATCGAAAAAAATCGTCATTTAACAGAGTTAAAGCTTAATTTATGCAAGAAATAATTCATGGCACATGGCTAGCTTTACCTAGGCTTAAATACAGTACAGGCACATCTCAATAAAATTGTGTTCAAACTCATGTAGAAACACTGATTCTTGGTTTATAACAGGTAAGTAAGTATAAGTTAATTTTCATATTTGCCCTCTCTGAAAGGAAATTTGATGTCACCATGAACTTTATGATGAAGATAGGTGCAACCATTCAGTGGTCAAGAAAACAGTCAATACTCCCAAATTATGTGTACCAGGTTAGGGTTAGACCCTAATTTGATTTTGATTTTCATTATTTTGGATATATTACGAGTTCAGGGACTGTCTGTGTTGTCTAAGCCAATTCTCCTGACCATAGGTTTCAGTCCCTTTACACCACTTAATGTAAAATAGGCAAACAAAAATAGGTACTGTTACCTACATATTGGTACATATACATGTGGAGTGCCAAACAGTCTACGATGGGAAAGCGACCAAAAAATCCTTTAGAAATTAATATCTGAACCTTTCAACTAAATCAATGGCACAATGGTAAGCATTTTATCAATTTATCACAAAGCACATCATTGGTTAAGGCTTGGGTCAATTTTATATAAGAATCCAAATTTGAATCATTGCTACAAATTCAATTCAGGACTGAAAAATAAATGTAGAATGCCTTATACATACATGTATCCATGGGCGTTAGCTCATCCAGCTTTATTCGGTTCACAACTAATTCCAAGAACTGAAACAAAAATAACAATAATCGGGCCATGTTCACAAGACGACGTAAGCAACCCCACCTGACGTCGTCATTCAAAAATTATGTTACAATGATGTCACAGTAACGTATAAAGGCCATCTAAACTATAATCACTGCCATCCGAGACTTGCAGACGATCACACGAATTCGAGCAAGCTATTTCTTATAACGATCCTGATATAAGATAGATTGCTGGCATTGGTGAGTTCGTTATTGGCAGCACAGATGCCATTTCGGGCGATTGTAGCTATACTTTGACAGAATCTATGACATGATTGTGACGTCGTAGTGACATAATTTTTGGACAGCATAGCCAGGTGGGGGTTAGAAATAACACATGTAAAAAATGGTTGTGCCGAGCCGAATAGAAGTACTCACGCCGTTTAGTCAACATGCGCCCAATAATCTGAAAATTGTCCATATCAGGGGCTTTAATCATAAATGCAGTACATGTTATGAAAACAAATATTTAGGGTTAACAGATTTTGTTCAGAGATAACAATTATATAGAGCAGTGGTTCCCAAACTTTTTAGAGTTGGGACCCACTATTTATTACTACAGCTTATGGCGACCCACTTAACTTTAATTTAATTCTGTTTTTCCATGACATAACACAGAACACAGCAATGGCTGATCATTGCAAAACTACAGTGTTTCCTCGAAATGAAGACCTGGCCTGAAAATAAGATAGTAATTTGAATTTTCAAAATGATTTTAATTAAACCCCACCCTTAAAATAAATTTGAAATGTGTGGGAGAAAAAAGGTTCATTGGCCTGAGGTAAGGTGAAGATCACACTACTTTTCAAGATTGTGTGATATCACAATTATGATGTTTGTCACTTGATTTTTGTATAGGAAATACAAATAAAAAAAATGGATGTCGTTTTTATATAATATTTAGTAGAAAATCTTGTGATTTTCTACGATGTAATTTTATTTTTGATAAATGAACACAAAAGATCTCTTCCAAAAAAAACATAGTGTTATTCTTCAAAAGAAAATAAATCCAAATCCTGTCTAAATTTTTGGGAAACATGGTAAGAGGTGCAGTACAGTGTGCAAAACTGCTATGCATAAAAAAGCCACATAGTCATTCTTTGTGTAGCAAATTTTTGTTCCTTTGAAAAGATCGTGAAAAGGAAACTTTCACAGATTAGAATTTAAATTCAATTTGATTTTTGATTTTTTTTTGAAGTTTCACGTATTCGAGTCCCCACCGATCCTTATAACCAGTATATTTAACCAAAGCTCCCTACATCTTTTCACGACCTACTAAGATTCCTTTTGCGACCCGCCAGTGGGTCGCAACCCATAGCTTGGGAACCGCTGATATAGAGAAAAAAAATCAAGAATTTGAGATATGATGAAAAATTGTTATATACGAGAGCTAAAATCACATACCTTTACTGACTAGAGTGTTCTGCCATTTAAAAATGTATAGAACCGTTTGTGATCAGACTGTGATAATCACCATTGATTGATGAATTCCTCAATATTAAAAGGACAAAAGTGTTAAATACTTTAACATTAGATATCTAAAAGGAGAAGAAATACAAATTAGGATCAAATTACAAACAATTCAAATCAAACTATAAATATTGCATGTAAGTATTCATTCTTAATCTTAGATTTGAAGTCTTAATTAAGCTCTGAGAGTGCAGGATAATATTACTTCTTATGTTCTAAAGATTTTGAAATATCCAAAAAAAAAATTTGCATTTTGTAGTTGTACGGTTGTACCCTCTAGTATTATTATTTCACTGTGAGGTGGATGAGGGTATGTAATTGAGATGATAAAATATCACATGTGATGCTGGCATATTTGATACAGATTTAGAACTTTATGCGGGTGAAATATTTAAAGAATGCATAGGTTTTCCAAACTACGGTAATCATTTATATCTATCAACCTTGCATTTGTTGAATTTTATTCCGCATAGCTATTCCCTTATAACTTGACTCAAATTTTTTCAATCACCAATCATCATCTTCTGTTATAATATGAATCAATATAGAATTTAGTATGTCAGTGGTTATTTGTAGCTATTCTATGAGTAATCTTTCTACTTCGAGCAAATTTTGCTTTTTTTCAAGCTACTGAATATAAGGGAAAGCTACATTTTTACATAACAAAAGAATGTAAATACCTTTAACAAAAATATGATAGATTTGTATTTTATATAATTAACATTTAAATGTAAATAAATGAATTATTAGTAATGCATGAGCGGTACTTTGTAATAATGTGGCCAAGTATGAATTGTCAATTGAGGCAATCAGGTGGACAAAAACCAATTTCACTCATGACTCTTTACATGAAATAAACTGAATTTTGGAAT